GCAATTGCGAATCGAAGACCTTATCGTAGACGATGGCCATGAGGATACCTCGCAGCTTGCTTGCAAGGCGGTTCGAGTGGTGTCGTGCTCGTGTAGTAGCCACCTGTTGTGCGAAATCGTATTAAAGTCCACAATGAGCCATAAAAGAAAAGCAAGATAGACGGGTCTCACGTACCCCGATACCGACGAAGGCCAGTGAGAACGCCACCGTGAGCAACAGGCCTTTCTTATAGTTGGTCGATGAGTCAGGCATGGCAAAGAGAATGATGGCCCGCTTGATCAAGTAGGGCTGCGACAGCAGGAAGCCTCCCTGAGCCAGCCGAGGAATGGCACCTCGGAGAAGTTCCCACTTCAACACCTGGAACAAAGGTAACAATACGTGATACCATTTGCCGTGCTCTCTACCTGGTAACAGCCATGTCAGAGGCCATTGTCCTTCCAGCTAGTCTAGAGATCCTTACACTGTACCCATCCCATAACTAGCCGGACCTGATCTGTTTCGTCGGCGCAAATAGAGCTGTCGATCCTCAACAAGTCGCGCATCAATAGCGTTCCTTTACACCCTAGCAGAAGCAGCGGATTGAGCCACCAGAATAGACTCCGACTGATGGCGCCCGCACCCATTTCCAAAGACTCCGAGCGGCAGTGCGGTAGAGTTGTGTGCATCTTTTCCATGGACTCCAGAATGACAAGCGCGAAGATCACCACCAAAGACGCGATGTGGATTGACGCCAGGGTATGGAGGCCCGAGACGGATAGCAGTGTTCGTGCCCGGGGAACTCCTAGCAACCAAACGACCGAGTAATGAAGAACCAGGCATGTGGAGGGACGGATGCAGCAGAAGTGCTCTAAGTGAGAGAGGTATATGGCTGTGATGGCGGCGAGAAGAGATGCGACCGAGGATGGAAGAGATAGGCTGGTCTTCGGAGTCGATGGGAGAGTCCAGATGACTAGTGAGACAAGTTGGAGGAGGATATAGATGGCGTGGAAGATCTAGATGCGAGATGGAATTCAGCTAGTATTCGTTGCACGAGGAGGTTTGAATCTTCCGCTTACCAACTTGACCCAATAGTTCAAAGATGCGCGGATCTTTTGGGAACGGCCTCGAAGATAGCCCACACGACACAATCCGACGAGGATGCTCAGCACAGTGGGCACCAGCAACAGTATCGCATCCTCAAATAGCAAGGTGAAGTCGACATCATCCCCGCATCCATTCACCACGGGTCCGAAATGATTCTCCACATTGATCGAGCATGTCTTTGAGGCCATGTCCCGCGCTGCCAGAGACATGCTGTCGCGCAGAAGCGGCTCATTTTGGTGCCACGCGAAGTTTCAGGTCACGGCCCTTCTTTTACCAACGGACTCTTTATTGTCCCATCCACTCTTAGGAATTTGAGCCACTCTCGCTGTTCTTCCTGGCATTCCAAGAGACTTGCCCCTGATCCGCGCCGATCATTGTGGAATGACAGGAATGCTTGGCCTAAGACCTACTTTTTCCCTGCAGCCCCAATTCTCCTGCCAATGCTCTGACGCTCTCTGACAATCTAGTTCCCAATAGTGTCGATTCAAGCTTGACGGACAGCACAATTTGACGTGTCTTGGTAGTAGGGGCGAGGTTAATTCCAGGGTTCAGCCATCGATGCCTCAGGTAGCGGCAAGTGCCAGAAATCTGACCTGTGCACTGGAGGCTTTCTGCTTTGGCTTGCACGTTTCCCTATTGGGCTTCTGTTGCCTTTCCAACTGGTCAATAATCTTCAATCGATTTGCTTCATCAAGAGCAAGCGCTGCCCTGTAGCCGCAAATCTTGAATGCGAGAAATAAATCATAGCACATCATATCACCGGCGCATATGTGACGCCCCACCCCCACCACGCTGCACCAGGTAAGGTGCTACCCATTGTTGATCCAACCACTTCTTCTCTACTATGCCTTGCTCATCACTTACTGCCTGATATCTAGACATCAACGAGTTTATCTAAGCGCCTTTCCGGGGATGGACCTCTGCATTTTTGCAACCCAGCGGACATCATCATGGGAGATCACAAGATTCTGAGTCTGGTTAGAACGGATAAAACTGACAAGTAGAAGTTTCTTTCTTGACAGTGTCAACTATGTTTTACTATAAGCAAAAGCAAGATTCGCATTTCAACAAGTCAGCCCGGCTAGCTCAATCGGCAGAGCGTGAGACTCTTAATCTCAAGGTTGCGGGTTCAACCCCCGCGTTCGGCTATAGAATCCGATTCTTTCTTCCTTCACCCCAGCCGGGCTAGCTCAATCGGCAGAGCGTGAGACTCTTAATCTCAAGGTTGCGGGTTCAACCCCCGCGTTGGGCTTAACTTTTTTCTTTTGCATTTTCATTCTTTTTTTTTTACCTGTGTGATTGTGATTAAATTTCAGGCTCAATCAACAAATATGATCAATTGACCAATAGTCTCAGGTTCGAGAGTCACCCGGAATAAATATCCTACGGGCGAGCAGAGCCTGTGCTCAAGAACGCGTTGACTAAGAAGCGGCACCGGCCAAAGAAAGGACCTCAAGTTGTCAAATGCTACAGTGTGTCGCCCAGCTCGCCAGTCAGAAGCCAAGATATTACATTTAACAAAGGCGATATAATCCACCACTGATCTGCGACCATGAAACAACCCACAGAGTACACCCATCCCAGCATACTGCAACAAATACCAGCCATCCCAGCAACCTCCACCCACTGTGCTTTCCGAAGCAGAAAGAGCATGGATTCATGGCTTATATATTACTAGATTTTAGTCCCTTACAACTTCCTAGTACTATGGCACTCAAGCACGTGCATCGCCATCACGCCCATCACGGCAAATGGTTTCCAAGCGCGGCTCTGCTAATATACCCATCCCCAAAGTGCACAACTATCATAGATGAAGTGAGGTCTGTTCGACCGAAGTAGTGGACGCCGATTGGCTCAGGTATAAACAATCGGAACTAACGGAGCCCGCCCACCTGAAAGCTAACATTTGTAGTGCGAGAAGCTTGTACATGTTAGTCTCAACCGTGGATTGTGAATTTACATATTACGTACCGTATGTAACCAAGGAAATGAAGGATACCCTACTTGGCAGCAACTGTGATATATACCTTCGGCCGGTACGATAGCGGTACATTTCGCTGTTCTGACAGTACTCGGAAATTCGGCCAGGCAGGCGCGATTCAACCCTAAGATCCTCATGAACGGCTTAGTAGTGAGTGCTCTGATAATGAATCGCCTCCTCAGCTTCCGAGTCGGCTTCTACATTTACTCCTTCCATTTAGTCGCCAGTCACCCCTGCTCTTGAGAGGCGCAAATACTTGTCATTGGTCGGATTGCAATTCTCGTCCCTGCTTCTGTCCACTTTCAGCGTTCCAAGCCCATGGTTATTCGGTTAACCCTTATATACAGTACATGGTGCTTTGCCATCTTTGCCACCAACGTGCTGGATCTACTCTTCCTCCTAAGACAACTATGACTTGAGACAAGACGGGCGTTCGACTCTTATCCCTTACTTAAGGGCTTGTTCGCTTGCATTTCCCTCATCCCAGACACCTTCACCTTGTCGATCCATGCCCTGCGAAAGATCAATAACGCACACCCTGATGGGAATCTGGACCCCGACGCCAACGTTAAAAGGATCAACAGCCAAGCTCGTACTTGCGGAAAATTGCCTGGAGCAGCCGTACGGGGCTGATCGAGCTCTCCTGGCTGCTGGAGATTTCAGCAGGGTTTGTGGATCTGGCTCTGAATCACTAGCCGATGGCCCTGAGCATTCTAGCGCACTACTGTGTGGTCTTGTACCATCTACGGTCACGATGGTGGGTGGGAGATTTCGGGATTAATGTGCTGAACGGAATCCACCAGTTTCTGGGCCGTGATTGCTTGGGTGGGATCCAATGGGCGCATGCGGTTGCAATCGATGGTGATGGAAGTGCTCGCTGATGGCACCGCGGGGGTTCTTGTAAGCCTCAGAATGTCGTCTGTCTTCCACCATTTCTAAATTTCTTCTCTTGTTGAGCATCTCTACTTCTACGTGTCTTTGGGCCAACTTTCCTGCGCGAGGACCACTTTCTGACTCGCTTGCTCTGCATCTGCCCGGGCCATGCGCGGAAGAATGCTGTGCCCTCGAATGACCCGAGCGTATCAAACTTACATTTTCCTAATGAGGGTGAGAACGGTAGACTACAGGCTAAGCTTTTGGTTATGTATGAGATTGTGGCTACTGCTTCCTAGGTAGCAATTATTTTGGGCTTGCGTGGGGATCCCACTTCGCTTCGCGCTCGGCCGACACTGCCGGAACCAGTCTAGCCCTTGGTATGCTAGGGCCTACAGCACATAAGAAACGCCAACGCATGGCTCGTACTACGTAGCGGAGACTGTGTATTTATCTGGGAACTACTGATACCGGCTTAGCCCACAGTCGTGCCATCGCTCCACATACATCGGGGGCTTGCCTCGATTCAGGCAGTCCAGCCATCACAGATCAAGGCTTGACATTGGAGCACCGAGTAATTTCCCTATAATCCTCTAACTATGTGGTTCTGCTCCTTCTCGAAGGCCTACCAGCTCGGAGGGGTTAAAAGAGTAAAATCGTGTGCTCATTCGAGAGGATCAGAAGAAGATAGAATTCTAATAAGCTTTTTTGCCTTTCATAAAGCTATCTTAGAAATAATCTAAACCCTTAACTGCACCCATATAGAAATAACCATTGAATGTATTTCCTAATATGGACTCCCAAGATCAGAATCCAGCCCTAAGAGCCCTAACATATCTGATACAAAAAGGGTATTCAGAATTATCGCAGCACCCACGTGTTGAAAAGCGCTCCGAGGGGGTCCGGAAAAGCAACGGGGGGGGGTCACGGAGTATGTACATACTTTGATGGACTTACTGTGACCCGGAAAAATAATAGCAAGTCCTAGCTTTCCTGACCTCCTCGCACCTAAATCCTGACACCCTACGACCTGGCACCTTAAATGTCTACTCTGATTACACCTACAAGTATAGGGATGAGGACGTGGGTAGGGGGTGGAAATGGCAATCTAATTCCGGAATCCCAAAATCAATCGGACATCCGACATCGTACAACCAGTAAAGCGGCACCATCGCCAACCGCCATCCCCGCCAGAGAATCCTCTCAACGAAGCCCATGATCCACCGCCTCGATATTATTCCCCGCGGGATCCAGCACGAAGGCCCCGTAGTACGTGGCATGGTAATCCGGCCGCAATCCGGGGGCCCCATTGTCCGTGCCCCCGGCCTGCACCCCGGCGGCGTGGAACGCGTCCACGGTCGCGTGGTCTGTCCAAACCCAATCAGTTAGCATACATAGTCCCCTCCCTTCCTTCTTCATAAGTGATGGAAGACTGGGTAGGGCTTTTTATACCGTACCGAGACAAGTGAACGCAATATGTGCCGCACGCGCGGGGATTTCCTTCGAGCCAAACACCCAGAAGTCGGCTTTGCGGTAGCTGCCGATGTCGTCGTGGACCGAGCCCAGCCCCACGATGAACTCGCCGAATTGGTAGCGGACCTCGTAGCCCAGCGGCTTGAGGGCGGCCAGGTAGAAGGCCAGGCAGGCTTGGAATTGGGCTTCGGGGACGTAGAGGCTTGTGTGATCGATTGCCATGATTATGGTTATTGAACTGGAGAGAGGGCTGGAGGTTTAGTGCAATGATGAAATGGTGGAGTGAGAGATTGAATGTGATGAGGTGAGGGGATGATGGATGGGAGACGCAGTGTAATTAAGGTTGTCGTCCCCGCGCGATCTTCGTTTGCATCAGTGGCGGGGCAATACGAGACACTGCTTGGCTCCCGGTCCGGGGATGCATATCTATCTCTTTCCACAGGGATTCTCTGGTGTGGGCGTGTGACAAAATATTGTGTCAGCATAGGCAGCAGTAACAGGCAACACTTATTGTGCACGGGAGCCTAGCAGTCGGTGCTTCCTGAGGCGCAATTTACGGCGACATTGATTGCTGAAAGCTCCGGCAGATCGGCAGCATACGAACTATACGCTGCTACAAGTGGTCCTAGATATCGGTTTCAAGAGGTCCTTAGTGACACATATGCAACCATCAAAGTTTAAACCATGGTTACAAGCTGTAGGTAGAGATGTGAGGATGTTCTGAGCCAGGCCAATTGTAGAAACTTTGATCCAGCGTGATCGGGGTTAAGTCGTTAGGGCTAACTACTTCCAGTACAAAATACAGATCACCAGTTTTGCACGTTCACATAAATCAACATCAAGTACAACAAATGATTATTTGGTATCTCAAGTTGCGAGTCATCTCATCCCACCATTACCAGTATTCCCAGTAGAATCATAATCTCATTATAATCAACCACATCCACAACAATCAAAGCTGCAGTGCATCTCGCACACAACCATCAATCCCAACTCCACCCCACCTCAATATTTACAAATGCACCTGCCAATGCCCCGCCTCCGCGCCACTCGAATACCCATCCAGCACCTTATTTACCGCATCCACATCCAACCCCCGAAGCACCTGAAACCCGGTCGGCTTGATCTTCCCCTCCGCCACCCAGCCGGGCACCCGATTCCACAAGGGCCCCGCAGTCGCCGGTCTCGCGGTCGACACCCCCATAACATTAACCGTCTCAAAGCCCGCCCCCTTCTTCGTCGACAGCTTAGACTCATCAACAACCCCTCTCGGAATCAGCCGTGCCAGCTTCCCAGTCTTGGTATTCGACAGCGCCTCGACACCGATCCACTGACTCTCGGGCGGATTGATCGTATCCAGCGCATAGAGCAAATCATCGCCGACAATCGCACGCACCTCCGCCGCAATCTCCAGCCCGGACTTCCCCGTGCGATCGACCACATGCGTGGCGCCCAACTGCCTCGCTTCCTCGGCACTGTTCGGTCCCGCCACCACCACAATCCGCCCGATCCGCGCCAGCGCCGCCAGCTGGATCGCAAACTTGCCTGTATTCGACCCCCCGCCCAGAATCAGCACCGACGTCCCCGCATAATCAAACGCCCACGCCGCCGCAGCCGAATCCTCGCCCCACCAAGGCGACGGGATCCCCAGCCCCGAGGCGTCGAACAGCGCTACCGCGGCGGTCACGAGATTGGTGGGGAGGGTGGCTAGCTGCGCGTCCGTGAAGCCCGACGGGACTTTGGCCGCGTACCGCTCGTCAAGCACGGCGTACTCCTGGAGCCCCTGGGTGTCGTTGTTGGCCTCGGAGAATCGGAGGTTGGAGGGCTTGCCGTGCGGGAGGACTAGCGCGGCTTGACCGACGACGTGGTCGCCCGGTTGGAAGCGGGTGACCTCGGGGCCGAGCTGCGTCACGACGCCGACAACGTCCGCGGCCAGCACGGCGGGCAGCGCGTCTTGGATGAAGAGCCCGTAGTCCCGGGATTTGGCGTCGTGGGGGTTGAGGCCCGCCACGGTGACTTTGATTTGGACTTGGTTGGCGCCCGCGGTGGGGATGGGGCGTGTGGCTTTGGTGAGGGGCTGGCCGATTGCGGTGGCTAGGAGGGCGGTTTGGGTTTGGGACATGGTGGAATGGGGGTGGTAGTTGGGTGCTGGTATCGTTGAGTGGTTGAGGGTTGAAAGTGATGGTGTAGAACTGTGCTACTTAATTGGATTGATGCTTGCTTGAACTGTGATGCTCGATTGAAGTGTCGTGGAATGAGTGGGTCTTATATGCCATGTTTAGAGTACTAGGTAGTGAATCTATGTATAGTCTTCTACAGTGCTCGGACGCTCGGACTTTACGCCAGCGGACTTAACTCCAGTGCGGACCGGCCCCGGATTAGTTGTGATTATCAAGCGCGGATTGATTGATAATCGCCACCCCCGACGGTTAAGCTTCTCGGTAAGCAGGAACATCACAATCCCGGGGATAATGAATACCACCATTTCAATGGACCTGTCATAAATGTCTTAGGAGCAATTGGAAGACTAATCAGCAAAACATTTACCATTTTTCTGTTGAGTGAGCACTTAGAACGATTGTTTCAGGCTGTCTGTATGGCCATTGGCCGACAATGAACGGTGCCTGTACGGAGTACTGTACCGAAATCTACATGAGGCACGTAGCGCCCGGATCATTGTCTAGTACATACGGGAAAAAGACGCAATAACAACTAACTAGCCATCACCGGCAAAATCATTAACCAAGATAGTTCTATCGTCTTCTGCTGCCTTACCTGATTCGGTAAACAAGCCATTGATTGACTTCTGCCTGGGCAGGCCTTCTTCCATTGCTTTTCAGCACCCCGCCATAGCAAGCCATCTCCAATGTAATGGGGCGCTGGTCTATCCAAAGCGAATGCCCACCGCGACCCGTCTAAAGGTAGTCAAGGTAGATACCAGAAATCTGGGAAATCTCTCAAAAGACCATCCTGGGGCAGCTGCAATATCACATATATACCAATGGCTGTTTCCTGTTTTCGCTGTAGCTTGGATTGCTTTTCTTGGTAGGACGCCGGGGCGGTACGGCCCCTCTTTCAGCCACCTAGTAGTTTCTCCACACCCTAAACAGTCATGCTTGATTCCGAGCATAATCCATCACAACTCTCATTTTGTGTGCAATTGCAGCGACAGAGATAATACTACGATTAAGACCAGACTCCAGTGGTCTAGTTCTGGATAGGGACATTTCTAGGAACCGTTTCTTGTCATCCCAGGTGTCAAGGTTCAATACAGGGAAACATTTCTCTTTGCCTCGACTAATATGAGTCGGCTACCACTTAGATTCAGATAACAAATATCGATAAACGAAGTACCGCTCGTGGGCTGTCGCTGGTGCCTCATATAAATGACAACCATAATATCAATATTTATCTTTCAATATTTACGGTTAACCTGTATGGAAGAAAAATGCTGAGTTGGATCAGAATAAGAGATACCATTAACCAGGAGAAGGTTTCCTGAGCAGCCACAAGCTTCCGTGCACTATTCTCCTGTTCTACTGCAAGCGAGACTTGAGCAATCCGGGCGACAAAATATTGCTACAGACATACGCATAGCCAAGTTGAGACCTGTCTGGTCCTTACCACCATTCATTGAATATTGAAATGCATCCGCTGGCCATGCTACCCCTGCAGTCATGATCCACCTGCCATCCTTGGTCAAGCACCGCCAACCTCCAAAGGAAAAGCTTCGAACTGGCAGCGGCACCTCGTCCCAGCGCTTACTCCGGTTGCGATCGGAATCGAGCGGCCACAGCTCATCCAGAATCAACTGCACTTGTTTCGGCATACGGGTTGACCTCGGATTAACATCCTCTTCTATTTCGCGCCACAGCTGCCACGCGGCCCGTCCGATCTCCTGGATCCGGACTTCGAAGTCCGAACGGGGGTAAAGATCTGAGCGAGATACAAGGAACGAACGACTCAGCTGTCAGATGACATTGTGCAGCGAGTCTGCATAGAGTCGGGCGAGCCCCAGATTGACGCGGAGTGGGAGAGAATAGGGAGAGGGTTGGGGAGAGGATGAGGGGGTGCAGTGGAAGAAGCGGCAAGCTGCCCAGGGACCGTGGATCCGTGACGCGGGAGGGGCGGCCCGCTCCCACTGGGCCACAGATCAGCATCATGTGATTGATGTCACATGACATTCTATGTTATGTTATATCGAGGGGATCAAGTTCCTCTACTGCAATGCGAATCTAGAGATGGCCAAGAGTACGATACGATGTGGGCAGACAAGGATAAGTTCGATATTATATCTCCCGTACTATATTCCAAAACCGAACGAACCACCCACCCAGCGCTAAAAGCTCACTCGCTCCGGACGATCCCTCCGCCAACCCTATCAACCAACCTCAGCAGAGCCTCGAATCATACAACTGATCATCCCTCCACGCCCCGAAGGTATGCCTCAGTCTCTGCACACAGTCCCAATCCTTGTGAGTCCGCACAGGGTGGAAAAACTTATACACGTGCACCAGAGCCATCGTTCCCCGGCGGTCCAATCGCGTACGCACCGCGTGCACTTCGCTGGGTCGGGTCCCCGCGTACTGCATTAGTCGCAGGTACCGTTCTAGAAAGCTGGCTGGTAATGGGCCTTGTCGATCCCACTCGACGAATTCGTCTCCGAACTTCTTGACATCGAGCCACAGCTCCCGCTGGAAGAGGCTGAGCTGATCGGACCATGACATGCCTTCGCATTGGCAGTGGACCTCAATCAGTCGCTGGTCCTCGCATATGACAACGAAGAGGTCGGGGCGGAAGGGATTGGGGTCGTTTTGGTCGGAGGTTCCGGGGCGGATGACGCTGATGGGTTTTCCGGTTAGTGTTGTAGTAGGGCTAAATCTTTGATGTACTAATTCATCGGGTTCCACCGCGAAGGAAAGCTACCAAATGCCTGTGGAACGTTCGATATATAAACAAGAGTTAGTCTTCGTTACCTGGGAAGTGCAGATACCGCAGCTAGCAACTCGCTCCGACTACAGTCCATCCAGAGCCAGACGGCTTTGGACCATTTGTCGTTAACCTCGAACCGATACGCAATCCCATGGGCGGCTAGGGCAGCGATGATAAAGTTCCGGGCTCTCGCAATCTCCTGCTTCTTGTACGGCTGCGCCATCTCGCGCAGTCGGGCCAGATCCTCCGGCCAGTATAGCTCGGGATGCGCATGCCTGAAATTAGGTGAGCTTTCACTCATAATGCGATTGCTGATACCGCAATTTTCGTTGTGAATGGCAAAGAATTTCCAATTTAGTGTGTGGGGCTGAATAATTCGTGATCTCAACAATGAGATATCAAGACCCTGTTTCTGGGATGTGATGACAATAGTGGCATTGACGGGTACGTTGTCGCATCACTCGCGGCCTCAATACAGCTCTACTGGTAGGTATATAATGTACAGCCCGCTAGGTGTACTCAACACCTTTCTTTCGCCACATGCAAACGACGAGCCCGCTTCTCAGCCAGCCCACAGCCCCTATATCAAACGCCACCAGCGTTTGCACGTCGAGAGCCAATGAATCTGTGAAACAAGTGTCCGTCAGCTTGACACTGTTACGTCATCGGCCTACGATTTTCTGTGCACATACCATGGGAGAGAAAACCACCCAGTGAACTTTGAACGTGCTGAAGCTTTTAGCCATATTTGCTCATATCAGCAATTCATTCCTGTAAGTGTCTTTACTCGTGTATACTGCCCCTAGGATTCAAAACCCGTTGACTCCTCGCCATGAGCAAATTACAGCCCAAGAATGTCTATTTCTCAGAAGAATAGACTTCATCAGGCGTTTGACCTCGTTTACTACTCTCTTTTCTTTTTGGTTCTTACTAACGTATTGAAGCAAGAGGTTCAAAGTTGATGGCATGGGTACAATGCCCTACACAAGTTGACATAGCCTCCGAACCAGTAAGGCGTGATAGGACTTACAAACGCCCTCTGTCCCACTCCCGGAGGCCAAGTATAGGCCCATCTCACTTAAGCTGAATATTACAGCAATCGCGCAAAGCTTTTATGTGATAGGCAGGAGACCGTGTCCCCTAATTCCTGATGTTTCAACATGCTTGTATTCTTTTAAAGCGATCATTATCTCTCAATCTAGACACCGAGCAACGGTCCATTTGCCTGTCCATGAATGCTGAGACTACTCAACGATTCCTATGTCCCTCCCTTTATAATTGATTACAGTTACTCTACAACATAGACCAAGCCCCAGAAATCTCATCAACAACTCTGCTTCTCATTGATGGCGAGATATATATCTTGGAGTCCAATGGGATGACAACTTAGGCTCCGACAAGCTAAATTTATGTTCTAGATAGCTATTTTGATTGATAATTACTGACACCGACAGTAATTTCAATACAAACGGCATTACGCCTCTTTAAGTAAGCAGTAAAGTTCCCAGGCTTTCTAATCCTTTTCTTTTATATACTATTTACATATAGAATACATCTTAAAAGAATTCGATACGTGGACCCCAAAAGCCCTAATAACAAGAAAAAAAAAAAAGGGCTTCCTGATAAGAACCTAAGAATTACCTTCGGCTTAAAAGAATCTGAAAGAGTCCCTAGTGCAAGGAGTGTTTTGGTAGAGATATAAGCATTTCCGATACTAGTACCATTTTATAGAAAAGCCTGCCGGTGTTGATAACTATTACTATTTTAAGTAGATATGCTAACCAGTCTTTAGGTTTTGCGCCCAGCTCCTGCGATGAATACATATGTGTTTAATGACAAAGAGACGCTCATTTGAGGTGCAGATGCCCACATTGTGGCCGATTTACAGGATTGATTCGAAAGGATACTGGTACTTGTTGTAATTGTCATGTTTTCTTGATACGTTAGGTAAGGTAATGTATTTTAACCTGGACCCACCAGACTAATGTTAGTGAGTGGATCTTTTGTGTCAAGTGCAAGCTTGTTAGACGAGTGAGCCAACAAAAATCTATTGTATAAGTAGTTCTATTGTATTGTTACATACCGACTATCTTGAGCAACAAAGAAGTGACCACTAAGTCTTTGTACGGGGACCAATTTCAAGTATTCAGGTCCAAGTTGAGGCTATTCCTTATTTCCTTATTCTTCCTATTCTTTCCTCCCCGCAGATACCCCCTTTTTTAATCGACGCCCCGGCGACTTAGCCTGCCTTGGTGTATTTCTTTCCCTCAAACTTTGTAAACTGTATAATCAGTTCTTCCCTGATCTCCTCAACAAGTCTGACAAGAACATTGCATGCATGTAAGGCTCACCTGTTATCTTCAATCCGAAGTGCTCAATATGCTCTTCGACCTTCCGTATATACCCACTTCCCGGGGCATTGGTTCGAGCGGGTGTGTCTGCCACCTCGCGCTGGCGCTTAACCCGAATCTCGGCATCGGACGTCTTTGTGGGCCACTGAACAGTTTCTCTGAACGTTGCCCCATCTTCTCAGTGAAACATTCGCGGTTCTCAATGCCGGGCTTTGGATGACAACGTTGAACGCCAGTTGATTTTGTTCTTTCAACGCCCAGGCTTTTATAGTATTAAAGACTTCGGCGGGCATCGGGCATTGTTTGCTCCTGTTTATAGATTTATTAACATGCGAGCTTTTTATGTCACAGATTGTGGATGTGCGAAAAGGAAAAAGGGCAGTTGATCTCCGGCTAGGTGTCATAGCTTTCTTGGTCAGTCCGTGTGGCACACAGAATCATACATTCGCTCGACCGGCTTCATTGGGATGTGAAATATGTCCTTTGCGTCCCATGTTGAGGAGCCGGACGGATCAAGCATCGCTGCAGGAAATAGAACTTGGCTCATCAGGACAACTTAACATGAGAATACAGCAGCGCCCTCACTCTCTTTCCAGGCCACACAGTCGAACTTGATCAAGCGGGGGTCGTTGCCGTGGGCGATGTTCTGTGGCGGAACTGTGAGAAACACTAGGTAAGATGCGGACACATGGCATGCCAGATTGATCTGAGGCCATTCTTGAGTTTCTGTTTGGAAGCTTCATTCTGCATGTTCAAGCTATGGCAGCATCCTTCATGGAAATCATTGGATTGGAGCACCACACCCTTTCATTTCTCCAATTGCGAGCACAAGTATCAACGGATGCTAGACGCCCAGACATCCTTACCCCTTCATCTTCTCAATGTGCATGGCTGAGCACCGAGGGGTTGTCTGTGATGCTCACTCTCTTTTATCGCTGGGACCCAGAATCTCCCTCTGATTTGCAATTGCCCACGGATGTGGCGTCTCTAGGGATGAAGCACGGAAGCTTTTGCAACATGCGGAGTCCCTCGCTGCGCTTGCACCCGACTCTCATTACTAAGATCGATCAATTCAGTGCGACCAAATTGTCCGTTCTGTCGGCAGCATCCTCATTGGAGCTACTGGAACTAGGACTTCTGCATCCACGGGCTGCAATGCTTCCATGACCATGATACGGAGTTGCACGGTCTCATCCGCGCCTGGGATCATGTTTAAGACTTTGATCAACTAAGCCATGATGCTGTCGTCCTTTTCTCAATCACAACAAGGTGATTCCATACGTCTTCAGTGACCCCATAACAGAGTGACCAATCTTCCTTGCTCACGGGTTCCATTCCTCCTCGGTTAATCTTGCCTCCACGTGCATTCGACCTGTACCAAGTGTCAGTCGGTTTCAAAATAGCCCAGGGAACAGAAAGCGAAGGGTCCTCAGTTACATTGTCCGCATTGTCTAGACATCTCCTGTAGGTATGGCAACCATTTCCAATAGAATCACGAGACGCAACTCTTTCGAAGCAGCCTATCACTTGGAGTTGTGTTGATCCTTTAACTGCGCACAAACCATATCGCGGACACGACCTTCAATCCACATCCTGACGTAGCTGGCTGATAATGCCACTCACCTAGGAGGAAGATTTAGGAAACAGACTGAGTGCGCACACAAAAGGGAGCCTTTTACCTGCGAAGTGTCTTCCATCAGAGACGAGAACATTTTGTATTGAAAGATGAAATCCGATACTGCGCACGTTACATCAATGGTCATCCAAAAATCCCAGACCATCGCATGTCTGAGCATGAGAACCCGCGACATTTACGATGACGACCTTCATTTCACCTTCCTGCATGGAATCGACCGTCTCAACCTTTAGTTGATCGCTCACAGGTAGAGGTTCTCGCAAACGGAAAGGCGCTGTGCGAAGCAAATTCTTCTGCGCAGTATACGGCGTGAAGATAACCATGTCCTTGCCTTGCTAATCGTTCTTCTGATAGCTTGATTTTGTATCCGTTGTGACAGCCTCGACAGGGCTGTCCCCAGTGGTAAGCCCCTAGCCCTTGTCTAAAAGGAGCATCGCCCGCTAGACAGGCAGAGCTTTGTCGCGCCTCTTCTGTAGGTCAGAGTATGGTGCCGATTCGGGTATGACAGTCCACGAAAATATGATCAATCAAGTCATAATGATTAGATCTCCGTGCGTGTACCTAGTGACGGTTGTACGCCATATTGCTGGGAGACTTTGAAAGCCATTTCATGGGCTTTCAGACTGTATGATTGCACTAGTGCATGCAAGATGGATTGGCAAGATAGCAACATTTCGGTGGGAATAGTGTTTCGTTCCCGGTGGCTCCCGGGAACGGATTTTGTCGACAGCTGTTGCAACAGGTTTGGGTAAAGATTAGCCTAATTCGTGTGGGACACACCCACCCAAGGACATCCCAGTCGGGCTATCTAATTCCCACAGTATCACTGGCAGAGCTAGGTAAGCGCCGGCAGGTTAAAATCTCAGAAACTTTACCTGTCTGCAATTGGAATTCGCCGCTCACAGCATGCAGGGAAGCTACGAGCCGTGTCCTATTTGAGCCCAATGGCATCTTGATGGCAGGGCACTCATAAACCCGTGACTAGGCGAACCTCCTTTAGATCATTGTAGAATGGACTGGCTAAAGCGGATTCCATTCAGGTGACGATTCCTCATTTCTGGGTGACGGAACTTTGAGCATCGTTTCCACGCTGACTGACCACGGATTCTTGGCTCGCTTACCAAGTGCTTGCGGGTTGTGCAGTATTTAGGCACAGGAATAGAACCCATCTCATTGCGTATGAATTCATTTCAATGTCAAGCTGTTCGGCGGTTTCAGTCACGTTGCTGACCTCAACGCAGAATCCACAGACATCGGATTGCAAATGCTCGGCTCCCAGCCGAGGCCTCTATCTCAGGAAGTTCTACCTGATCCAAATCAGCGCTTCCTGCTCGCACGTGGGGAAATTGTCGACGCTCTTGTATAACTTTCCACGTAGGTGCAGCAGTCCGGCTTCGCAGCCACAAAATTGTTCTCATTTCTCATATGTGCGTCTCCTCATCCATCTTAAACAGGTTTCCATCCTTGTCGAGCTTAAAAGAATAGAAAGCGCATCCCGTCAGTCAGGAAGCCATGGACCGCCTGTGCTCGCCTCCCCCTTATACTAGCCATATATCGAATTAGCGGCCTTACACTAATCACTGCTTTGATAGAGACTTGCGACTCATTCTAAGCCATTAGAGTAAAGTCCAACCGTCCAGTACACGTCATCAAAATATTCGGTCCCAGGTATGTGATACGGTGATCCGTTGCCAGGCTAAGGTTGAGCCTTAGATTTCGTGTCAACAGATACGCGCCGCAATTAGAGCCGGGCATGTCTAGTTGATATCTGTGACCGCAGCATTAAGCATCTCCATGAAGAGCATATGACTGGCCGATTTGCTGCGCAGATCAAACCCCATCAGGCGGTGGTCTCAAAGTGCGGTTCCATGGCCGCAGTCTGTAAGCTGGTGGATTCAACTAAACGAAAGTTCAAGTCGGAAGCATGTTTTCCGAGCGCTGCAATGTGGCCAGCCGGGTTCTGCGCCATGCTGGGAGCAGGTTCTTACCCGCCGCTGTAATCATTCCTCGTACTTGGATTGATGTATCCTTGCTTCTGATACGGATATTGAACGTCCGCTGCACCTGGTTATGGCCTCTGCAAATATTCGCATAATATAAGCCATGGAAGCCATGCGGTGCGTATCAGAGCCCTGTGCTCCCTGCCAGTCGACGCTCTTTTTGTGATAGACTTGCCCATATGATGTAAGCCCTTTCAGAGCACGGTACATATTTCGATGCGTACCGACCTCATCAAAGAACAGGGCTAAAGGTACTTAGCAAATGGATGACTTGGCGGCAAAGCCAGGGGAAGTACTCCCGCGTTCATAGTACCAAACCTCCGATACATCTTCTTGGCATCGAGTCCTGTGTGATCGATACGGGTATGAATAAGGTAGCTATATCCGACCCGTCCGGCTTTCTCTTCACGGCCGGGGCAGCATCGGCAATGAGCTGATGATTTCATCATTCCCATCGAGAAGAATATCGATTGCGATTATCTCCTCGACATATCTCACTACCCAACGCCTTGGTTAGCTTCCATATCCAGTCATCGTCTCTCCGATGCACAAGATATCAATAACACAGCATGTAGGTGACTCGAATGAATCTGACAAGGGAAACCGACCCCTAAGGCTTTCCTCAAAACTCAAGGTCCCGGCGACTTGGATGATCGACCCTAGGGCTTCAAACGAGAACAGGCTCACGAAAGAAGTGCTTGAGCTTGATTCTGCCCGCGAATAAACCCTTGCTCGCAGGAAAGGGTCATTCTTCTATTTGGCTTGAGAACAGCGAGAAGAAAGAGGTAGATAGGGCAGACTCCTCTTTAACTCTCGGAAAGCTTGATTAGACAAAAGATGCCATATGCGAATGACGTAATATCGTTTGAGTATCATCTCGAACTTCCTGGTTGATTGGACTGCCAAAGTGTGGGAATTCCATGCCGTGTAGCAAGTTAGCCATCTGCTATGCCGAAGCATTTTCCTGGCCCCCGAATGCCTCGTCAGTGCTCTCGCTCTGTCAGTATTGTCAAAGCCTTGAGGCTGGACATCGAAAGTACAGGTATCGAGACCACAATAAAGCAAATGAGTGTGACTCTCATGTTTGAGGATTAATAGTAACCCCCCCCAAATAGTGAAATTGTGGTTACCATCAGCATCTGTCTGATTGTCGAAGGGTTTGAGGGGTTTCTTTCTCCGTAACATGAATGCTACTGGAAAGAGAACAGCAGAAACAACATAGAGGAGGACTCAGACACGCCCCCGCGCCCTCTTCTGAGTAGGTAGCATGTGAATACCAGAAGGTCCATGTATGCTGTCCACAGGCTGTGACCAGAAACATCTGGTAGCATGTATTAATATCTGGACAGTTGTGTAGTACGCAATAGCTGGGGTTATGTCTTATCGAGTACCGCTGATGTAGTGGCAGATAATCGAATTTCGAAGCAGGTTGCATCCCGGCGATTCAATTTTCATGGCTCTCATATGATAGCACTTGTACTCTTTTGCTGTGTTGGTCTCCGTTCGTTGATTTGACTTCTTGTCAAGACGACTCTTTCTTTCCCTGAGACTATTTCAGGACCATGATATCATCCAATGTATGGATATGCCGTAACAAGGGGCTCTCTTGACCAGGGACGGACCTTCAATTCGGTGTCGATGACAAGCAAATGAGTAACCTGGGAATTGGATGAGTGATTCCACCCAGGCACCCGGTCGACTTGACCTCTTCCACATCCAGGTCTGAACCAAGCCATGCGTCCGGGCTACTGGCAACGACTACATTCGGGGTCCCCACCAGCGGTCCGTTTATCAAAATCCCAGGACTCATCAGGTATGCAAATCAGTCACCGGCAGGCAAGAAGCAATCAGCTACCTCACCAGAATGGACTTAGCGCAGAACCGCTAAATGATTAAGGTCTCATACGACACATCATGGATTAACCCTGCGAGCACCAGCTCTAGTCAGAATCTCGCGGATGGTAGTTGGGAAAAATATTGCACGTGTTCGTTGCATCGCTATTCGCGCGTGTTCGAGAAGGAAATTGTTTTCTTCCGACGCACCCCAGACTTCCTCCGCCTCGAGATAACCGCATACACATGCCGGTCGGATGGCGAGAGAGCATGCGCTCTGCCGAGGTAGCCATTGCCGATAGTAACTGCGTAGGGGAGATGCGTCACGTTGATCGCGGATCAGTCCATGGAATTCCAGATTTGCAGGCCACGGAACTATCCTTTTCACTCGGATCAAGTGCAACGATGTAAAACGCTTATGGAGCATGGCAGGGAGTTACCCGTTTGAAGAGGAGGATTTGAACTCACAGTCATCACAAGAACCTCGATAAGAACCTCCTGGACCGCCGTGTGTCTTCGGGGCAGCTAGGCACTGCAGCCCTGATGCTTTTCATGATAGAAGTGTATATCACTCTCTCGCCCTTAGACATGAGGTCTTTTGTTGTCGAGCACGCTTTTGTGAAGAATGATATCGCGAATTGAACGGGACGGCGCCATTGCGTTGCAATAGTCTGTCTGACTTGATGATTTTCAAGACTTTTCGGCCTTTTGCCAATCAATGGACGAGGCGATGGGGAATAGATAGTGCAAAGGTAGATAGAATGTAACCCCAGACAATCCATTTCGCAACTTGGCCAGTCAATGCACATAAAAGTTTGGGAAAATGTTGCTTTCCAGCCACAGACACGTAATGCCAGCTTTGCTTAGTCGATTTTAATTGGTGGAGGTTAGATTGTCTTGCGCAGTCGGGTTTCGATACAGTCCCCTGTGATATGCGTCTTAGTATATCCTCCTTCTTTTCCTTCAGTACATCATCCTCCACAGACAGAGGGTGCAATTGGGATCCAACTTATACCTGCGATGCGTAAGGTAAGGGATCAGAACCGGTGGGTGCCCATCGTTGATGCCGTTCTCATGGTAGCCAACCTGGTCCTTAATGGTGTCAGCAGGGATTGTCTGGACCAGTCAATAGCTGAGCCCGGACAGCCAGCTGCCTGGGGTCCGACCACCCAATGTACGGCACAGACCGCACAACGGGTTCGCGGATCCAGGCCCGCTCGCGACCAGACAGGGGCTGCGATCCTATCCACGGGGGGGAGGCCTGGCACCACGGCGGGTGCTGCGGCGCTGCGACCTGAGAACCAGGCCGCAGCGGGCAGCTCGACGAATCGCGAGGCACCCACTCATCGTCGTTGGCCCGATCGCGGGGCGCAGGCTGATTCCAGGTGGCCCTGGGTGTGCCCACTGAAAGCGGGGGAGGTCCAGGGCTCATGAGAGGGAGGCGGCGGGGGCCGCGACAATGTTGGTCATTGTCAGTTGCTGGATCCGCCCCCCGCGGGTGTAGGTGGCCACGCGGAGGGGGAGGACGGTGGCGGGAGCAGTGGGCGCGGCGGGGGCAGGCACACTCGCGGCAGTGGCGGCGGCAGCGGAGGTGTCTTCCTCCGCGATGGGAGGGACGATCACGGCGCGCTGGAAGCTGTTAGCCAAGCCCAAATCTGCTTTGAAAGGAACTCACACGGGAGGGAGGGGGGGGGGGACGGAGAGGGCCATCAAGCCCCCCAGGCACGGAAGAAGAGCGGTAGGATGCGAACGAGTCAGTCGGCTTTCTGCTGAGGGGGAGGAAGGACCGAGTCCTCGCAAGGCATACCAGGCATTGTTTTAGAATTGAAGCTTCGCGATAGCAAAAGAAACAAAGTCAGCCAACCAGATACTTGGAAAGAGACCGGGATTCCGGAAGAGGCCATGTACTATCAACAGGCACTATAGTGTGGTGCATCCCTGAATTGCAAATAAGGTATTCACCGATAGAAAAGCACGCCACTTAGTTGGAATATTGAGAGTTCGCCTGGTTTGTGTAGGCCCTGGTTTCTAAGCACGTACATAGAACCACTTCTGGTGAGTACCAAAAGAAACCAGTAGCATGATATGGATAGGAAACAAAATGGCAAAGTCTGCGAGATCGAAAGTTCCTTTCAGGTACCTGTAGAAGCCAGGGCTTACGACATGTGGATGAGTAAAGGTGGAAGTTGTTGATGAAGATAAACTCGGAAGATGATGTGGAAGGGGATGAGAAGGTGGATGAGAGAAGGAAAGAAGACAGGGGATAAGGAAGACCCGTATAAGTTGGGGATGGAAAAGCTTGAATGATGTTGAATCAGTGGGAGCAATTCACCTATCAGAGTCATTGAATAGATCCAATTGTTTGCAAGAGAAAGGGTAGAATAAGATAGGTTGCAGTGAATCATCCCCCAGAGTGAATCGATTCTATAGACCAAGGTAGCTGCAGACATCCTTAGCTTTTTATGCTAGCAAACAACTAAGAAAAGCATGATATGCTAATAGAGCAAAGAGTGAATGACACAATCATTGTGAATATACTTCTACATAACCGTAGAGATGATTATTTTACATCAATCTACATCAATGAAGGTACTTCTCCCCAGTAAGACTAGCCAGTAGCCTTTATATTCACATAACCATAAGTACAACCCTGGCATTTCAGCATTAATATACCACCTATGTACAGCAGCGCAAGTCATTCACCAAAATGCTTCCGTGGCGGAAACATTGCAGCTATTTCCATCCTGCAAACCCCACAAGCCCCGCCCCCTCTTTAGAGTCAAATCAGTAAGTAGCCTTCGCCAAGTTCTCATCAAAAGTAGCATCCTTGAACGGCACGATCCCGCTCCCAAAGTCCGTATCCGACAGCGCCGTGCTAGCAGCCGAGGGCAGACTCTCCCAGGCGACCAGCGGCTGCGTCCCGCCGACGGTGGTGGTGAGCCCGCACGAGTGGTCGATGGGCCAGATGCTCTCGTACTTGATCAACGGCTTGACGCCGTCGAGCGTGTACCCATCGGTGGAGCAGTCCCAGCCACCGTGGGCAGAAGGGCACACGGCCAGGATGTTGTCGGCGGTGTAGACAGTGGGGTCGGAGATCCAGACGATCACGCCCTCCCAGTCGTGGCGGTGGCCGATACCGGTGGAGGGCTCGTCCTTGGGCATGTACCAGCTGTACAGCAGGGCAGTCGGGTAGGTGTAGTCGCCCGTGGAGGAGACGTTGCTGCGGACGTAGATCTGACCCGTCGAGGAGCTGCAGTCACCGTCGGAGGCGCCAGTGGGGGCTAGTCCTGCGCTTTGGGGGGGTTAGAATGGATTCTGATAAGGATTGGGAAAAGGAGGGCAAGCAGTGCGGGGAAGGGATAGGGTCGAGGGGAAGGTGTGGTGTATGCGGGGTTATAATGTACTCTACTGTACTCACTTGGTATCGCCCTCCGCATCAACGGCAGGGAACGGCACACATCCGTTCACCACGTAAAGGTATGGCTGGTAGTTCAGGTACAATGTGCCTGTAGCATCGTCAGGGACCGTCTGATCAAAGCCTACGATCTCGTCGCTGGCGATGGTGCCGCGTGCACTGAGCTTGGAGGTGGCAGGTCGGGCCTGGACCATGGACAGGCCCGTGGCGAGAAGGAGGGCAGATCGGAGAGACATGGTCAATTGAAATGAGGAATAAGAAGATTGACTTTAGCCACTTCAAACTCTGAAGAATGTGCCTAACAGCCTGAAGCAAAGTTTGGCAGGATGGAAGGGGCGCACCTTTTATGCTGGTCGCAATGGGTAGGAATCGGCAGGATCGGCAGTTCTCCCCTGAAGAGCCAGTTATCAAGGTGGGGAAGAACGGTCGGTCGGCCGCGCAACTCCACCATTGGAGTTCACAGGTCAGAACCCATTGTACCAATGTGAGAGAGAACGTGATGGATGACCGAGGGGAAAGTGGTTGAAGAAAATGAATTGCTGGACGGGATCGATATTAATCCTGCCGGTCATCTTCCTCCAATCAGAGGGGGCGAGGGCTTCACGCGACGGTTCAGGATCAGTGCGTTGCCGCCACGGTGAGATTTCTCTGGCCGGCAGACATTCATCAAGAACCAAGCTAGCTGGAGGCAGATTTCTTAGGCTATTGCTTGGTGGTTTAAGATGATGACTTTGTCAGACCTTTGGCATTCTGCAGCTTAGGGCTGGGCCGAGGTTGACCCGGTATCGGGCTCGGAGGGTGCCGAAGTGAGCCTCCCTTGGATTAAATTAAAGTATGTTTGTAAATTGTGATAAGAGAAATCTCATCAACACCGCCAGGGCAAGAATGTGATCACCGTGCGGGAGAGTCTTGCGATCAGACCATAGCAACCTGCTGCTGCAATCGCGCCTGCCCATCAACCAGGCCCACCATCATCTCGCTTCTTCTTACCACGGGCTCCGGAGCAACTTCTCTTCTAGCCTTAGCTCTCCGGATCACCGTCCCTTCTCCGTGGCCTTCGCCCGCAAAGACCTCCTTCAACAGCCCCCGAGGATGTACTACTGACACCCTTGCCTCTTCACCTTCCTTTCCATCCAACAAATCTTGCACGGCCGTCATCCTCACTCTCCACCGCATCCCCAACCGCGCCCACTCCTGTTTCCGTAACCACTCCAGGCTGATCACGTCCATTTTCCTTTCTGTCCTCCCATTCACCAAGCCGCCTGTCTCGGAAAGGTACACGACCTTCTCCGGACGCAGCACCCGCGCCAGGGCAGATGCCGCCAGGTCCGCATGTACATTGAGGACCTGTCCATCGGAAGTCTCTCCCATGCAAGTCAGCACCGGCACGCAAGATGCGCGCAGAGCCGCCCGGATGGATGAATCTTCGATTTTGTTGACTCTGCCCACGTGACCGTACTTGCTTGCATCAAGGTACTCGGCTTGAAAAACACCCGAGGTCAACGGCCGAGCGGAGACACCGATATTCTCGAGCTCCTGAACAAGCTTATAGTTCTCCTCGAGCAAAGCCGTTCGAGCCAGCGCCAGAGTACGTCCATCAGTGACGCGGATGCCATCATGGAACTCTGACTTTGTTCCCGTGGCAGACAGCAGCGTGTTAAGCTGGGGCCCTGCGCCATGAACGAGAATAGGGTAGAGACCAATGTGGCTTAGAAAGGCGATGGCAGACGTAAGAGATGGGAGGTGGTCAGCTAGGATAGCACCGCCGACTTTGATGACGGCGAAAGGGCGGGACGAGAAAGTGGGTGTACTGAAGTAAGAGAGGTACTGTTGGGCGGTGTGTTTGGAGTCTATTTGGCGCAGGAGTTGTGCTATTGTGGACCGAGTAGCGGCCACTTGGTCGCTTTGAGTCTGCGAGTACAGTCGGATACTATGAGTAAGATATACCACAGGCAGGGTTGAGCTGCCTCGTATAGAGTGCATAAGTCCCAACGGGGCCGGTATCGTAGGGGTGAAGCGACCCATATCGTAGACAAGGCAACTGGTGTATGATAATCGTTCGTTTGGGGCGAACAAAAGCCAGGTTGAATCCGCGCGGGGCAGAGGGGCTTATATCCTTCCCTGATAAAGAGCGCATAGGCAGCTCAGTTCATGCCTTGATTTCACCATCCGGTTGGGTTGGGTTATATCCCTCATCGCGGCCCGTGGTCGGAATCGAACCGACGATGTATCACCGCAGCGACTGGTGGTGGGGTTTGACTGGAGCCATGATTCCAGGCTTCATTCCTAATTTCGAGTCGTAGACAGCCACGAGTATCACTCAAATACAAGTTGGCCATGAGAGCGTTTCAGTATAGTTTTGGTGGTGTTGCAACACTGGATCGCGCGAAGAGTTCGTGGTGGCGCCCAAAGTCAGCCACCCCTCCCCAGCCATGCAACTCGGGCAGGCACACCGACAAGATGACAGCAGCCGGGTTCTCTGGCATATCTCCTGCAGATCCACGTATCGCGTACTGCAAATGAAGTATGGCCAATTCTCATTTTCCTTCAGGGTGACATCGCGTAGCGCGCTCATCGCCACAATTCAAGGTTCCATCTTTCATCCCGCTTGGTGCGTCATTTTCTCTCTTGTCGGCTATTGGTTGGCCAAATCACGCTGCAAGAGAACTGGGAAGACACGCATCGGGCACGCACGCAAAGTTCGACAGATAGTAGGTCTCTTAGGAAATAATTTAACAAGATCAGGCGAGAATCTGCCAAGCGCTCGGAAGGTCTGGAACTGATCATCGACTTTCGTCCATTCCGCACAAATCAAATCCACCCATCTACCGACTAACACAGCTCTGATAGGTCTGGGCCTGGGCATTCAGCACAACTCTCTGATCGCACTAAGCAGATCCAAGTTAGCGCAAGAAAGGGATTCTTCCTAGGTGCTGAGAAGCATGCAGTGGACAGTGCACATGTGGGGGTTAAACGCCAGGAGCACCCGATGCTACTCTATGGCCATCCGTCGAATGCACTTATTGTCGCAACCTCCTTAGTTTCTGGGCTTGGTTGCAACAGAATGCTTCCAACTATTAGTCATGACCTCAATGAAGACATTACAATTCCAAGCGACTGCAGCGATTGTAAGTCGTTGGTAGGGAAGAATATGACACCTTCAATATCCGAAGCCACAAGTCATGCATACGCAGCTTCCTGGATCGAGCACTTTTGTTTAGTAGACTACTCTGCTGAAGGGCGAGTAGGCTTGTAGGTATAGTATACGCATGGGAAGCGGCCCATCGACTCATCCTTATTTGAGGAAGGATGGGATCAAGGATGGGATCAAGTTGAATGCCCCACGATCGCAAAGCAATGATGACGGGCCGCATGAGCGACATGGGTGCAACCGGACAAGCAGGCAACAGTCCTAACAAAGAAAAGCTTCCGACAGGCACTCTGTGCTGCTAAATGCGAGTGCGCTAGTCCAATGACCATTATAGACTCCTTGAATGGAGCAAGGTCGCATCCATGAAGCTTATGTGCGCCGGAAAGGTGGGCTTTGTCGTGTCGCACAGCATCACCCGCCTCATGCCTCCTGTAGATGGGCACTGATTCACGATTTATTAGGACCCGGTAGTTTAGCAGAGAGGAGCAGTTCTGTAAAAAGCGACCGTGGCATAGGAGCATGGAAATATGCCTCGCCTCGAAGCAAAGCTGGATCTGATTTGATACCCGATTAGTCGAGTCGACGCTGGTTTCTCTATCGACTTAAACAGTTTACGAGACGCTCACAGGCTAACCATGTTGGGTCCGGAGCCTCACATCGACCGACATCGTACATCGTAGTTGGTGACTTGTGGCCTGGATGTTGATGAGTGTTGTGGTCGCATTCGAAATCTGCGGGCCGACCCACGTTGTCTCTTCAGTTACACGGATCGCGTGCGGTCATACCAAGGATGGCCAAAGCCACGCATCAAATAACAAAACTCCCAACCACAACACCATGGTTGTGCCGGCGAATTTGTCCGATCGGAAACCAAATCTTGTCGTTGGTACAAATGATAAAGAAGTATAAGAGCGGGGCGACTCCGCTACAAGGCTTGCAGGCGCATGGATCCAACACCGCCCACGCTTGCCCGCGCGGGCGGGGCGACTAAAATTAGTCTCAGTGTCGATTGCAGCAGCTGACGATGACTCAACCCCTCATTTAAATCAGTCACTTGTCTGCTTATTTTCCAGCCAGCTATTCTGTTCTCTCCACTTTCCTTCACAAATCATCTCAGACAACATGGCGGCAGCCGAAACGATTCGTGTCTCCCAGAAGGATGGCTCTACTCTGCGACTCGAGTTCGCCACGATCGACGATCTGAATGAGATCACCGACCTGTGGTACAATGCCTTCTCACCCGGCATGTTGTTCCTCTGGCCAGACACCCCGGGGGTGCGCCAGTGGTGGAACGATGCCAACCGCCACGACATGCTGCACAAACCCAATGCGAAGTATCTCAAGGTCGTGGACACATCGCAGAATGGCCGGATCGTTGCGTATGCCAAGTGGTCATTGGAGACCGCCGAAGAGCGCGGGCAACGGTGGCCCGCATGGCATTCCGACATGGATCCAACCATGATGAATAAGTTTCTGGGTCATTTGGAGACCAACCGGACGATGGCTGTGGCAGATGCTCCCAAGAACTTCTGTACGGTTGACCCCGGAGAATCAGAGTATTTTTGGTAGGGAACTGACCGTGCTCACGCGACCACTAGATCTTGATATGCTAGCGACGCATAGCGACTACCGGAAACGTGGTGCGGCACGGTTGTTGCTCGAATGGGGATGCGAGGTGGGCGACGAGGAGAATGCGCACATTTATATCGACGCGAGCACCGACGGCCAGCCGGTCTATCAGAGGTTCGGCTTTGTGAGCAAGAATGACCCCACTGTCGATCCTTTCGAAGTGGCGGCCATGGTGAGACAGCCAGGGTGGAAATCAGGTTGACGACAGCGTGTCGAGGAGTTCCAAAACTGCAGATCATGAGATGGTATAACAGCACATTGTAGCAGGGCATAGATTGGGAGATACATAGATACTTTCATGAATTTTGAGTAAAGCCTGTGGTGCCTTTCGGGGATGATTTTGATCTGGACGTGCTAATGACATTTGGCTTCACCTTACGGGCACTGTAGAATATGGTGGGGAAAAACAAATTTCAGGGAATAGTGTGTTAACAAATGTTGATCTTCAAGGTTGTCAAACCTAGCCATAGTAAATAACGAGGCTCAGCTCAGCTCAGCAACCGCAGGCCCTTCACATGTTACGCCCACCGTAATAAGGTAGATGATTGGTCACTTATAGAATCAAATTAAACTATATATCTTAGCCAGGTTCTCTCAATACGTTCAGATCTACCGATACAGCTTTCAGACTTGAAGTGTTATAAAATCCAGACATATCTTCAGTATGCCCTCCTAAGGAATACCAAAATGTCATTATCAAGTAGATAGTCAAGATTGACAATCCAGCAACCATTACAAGAGACTTTCTCAGTTTAAATATCAGCTTGTGTCTTGAAAATGACTAGACGAATATAGGAGAGAGGATAATAACTTGCATGTGTAAACATGAATTGAAGTACATATCAAGCCCAGCCAATTCCGCTTAGCACCATCAGTGGTCGCTTTTGACGCGACGACAGACAGCGATAGAGAAAGATCATAAGACGGCAGAGGATCTGACGAGGTTCGCCGATAGTATAGAGCGAATATAGGTATGCCGCTCTGCCCTTTTGAACTTCATGCTCTTATATACCCAAGCACGAGCGTGGCAGCTTTCCAACAAGGAGTCTGAGAATTATACATTCGCTACGCGGAGCATGATTCCACTTGCTCGAGCGCAACGGCAAAAGGACATCATCGTCTTAAATCAGCACATACACCTCGATAGTTGCCTTGAGATTCATACCAAGCTCCTGAGGACATGTCTTGCCCTGGTAGCTCTTTAGAACGCACTCGATTGTTTTCGTCGGCCCGTGAATGCTCGATAATGAGACTTTTGAGTTCTGACTCTCATGGCGGAGCACCGGAATGAAACAAATGTCCGTTGATACCGGTGTTGTCTTTCTTCCGACATAAGCTTTATTCTTGTTGGTCAAAGGAAATGTCATTCTTGTTAGATTAAGGCCACTATCAAACTACTAGGTAAAGTAAGTCTGGAGAATTTGCTAAATCTGGTCCGTTTCTACGCCCAATCGGAATCAAGCTGTTCGGGTCTACCCAACGCTCAGGGACCCTGCCGGATAAGTTCGGATCCCATGCTTGTTTAAAAGGTTTAGGCCCCAGCCCTAGCAGTAGGCTTCTCATACGACTCGAGACATATTTTCGGACCCCAATTGAGACATTGCATAGCACTAGCAATAAGTACACAATGGATCTGAAGTCACGATAGCATCTCATTCGCATCCTCCGCCGAGGCAAATGCTATTGGATAATTCGAATACCTCACATCCATGAAATTTGCATTCGATATGCTCCCAACTTCGTTTATCCATATCTCAACTTTAGTACATCATCAGTCGATAGGCAGCTGGCCTGACTTCCACATCCTAAATAGATATTTCTGCTTTTGCCATTCCTGTCTTAGATAGGATATGGACACTACGACTAGCATGGCTCTGTATAAAGGATACCCTTTCCCTGTCTAGGAGAAACAATCTTGCAAAGCAGCCTAATACCAAGTTTCTACTTGAGGGACGAAGTCCATTCCACCGGACCATCATGAAGTTGCAGGCAACTCTACCCCTCGCCGTTTTATTTTTTGCTGCGTCTGTTACTTCCAGCGTAAGTTGCTTAGTGCAATACAACAAAAGTGAAAGCTTACAACTTGTCCTAGGGGACCAACGATGTCTGGGGCCTCGTCGCAACCCTTTCACAGGCGCCTTCCGGTGACGGCTATCTCCACCTAGGTGATGACGGCGTCTTGAGATCCCTTAGTGAATCTGGAGACGTGCTAGCATATCGACAATTAGACCCCGAACAAATCAATCAGTACATCAATCGCTTTCCGTCGCCGGCTAAGGAACATCTTCTCGGGGTCTTAAAGGTGTTGATGGTCGAGACGTGATTGAGATTGCGCAACTCGCCCACCCCGACTTAAAAGCACTACTCCCAGAGCCTGATGAAGCCAGTGTTCCTGTTGCCAGTTCCTCCTCTACACTCAATCACCTGGCGGAGCGCGCATGTCACAACTATGCTTGCTCAGGTCCCGTCTTGTGCTATTCTTATACCTGCTCTGGTTGTGCTAAGGCAGACCATCTTTACTGGAGCGTCTGCTATTGAGGGGCGATGGAATCTTTGGGCAAGTTTTAAGGTGTTTGAGATTTACGTGAACCGTTCATCCTTCTCACTAGTAGATGACAGGGCACTTTTGCTTTCAGATATTCAACATGGAATATCCAAGCTTTTGCCGCTCCTGACCAACTTACGGCTATTCTGGTATTTTTCCGGGGCTAGGTAGACCGGTGGCGTTGTGCCTAGGGTGCAGCGCCCCCGCCAATAATTTCCTATTTTGAGAAGAATTGTTGGATCAGTTTCTGTTGACCTTTGCTCTCTATAAGTTACCTTACTCCCTTTGCACATATAAGGCTTAAGATTGGCCCACCATTCGACCCCCCCAAAACCAGAAGCTTAAAGATACAAGCATTTGTTGTCCCATATTCCGACGTCCGTGATAGCACAACAACTATAACCTTCTAGACTCCTATCTCTCCTAGCACAACAGAGCTAAACTCCCAATGCAAGAAACATGCGAAGCAGCAGCGAAGCACATGGTATGCACACTCTGGGTCTCATCTCCCTCTCTTGTTAAACTCAAAATGCACATCAAGATTTATACTTTCGATAACCTGCAGCCTGAAACACAACAAGACGCAGCCGAGGGGCCCGTCTGCGCAAATATCTCCGTCTTCTGCGCGCCTTACCGCTGGACCCGCTGGGCTTCTCTCATCTGGGCATGGACGGAGTGTGGCGAAACTGGGGTCAGGATCGCAACGTGGTCAGCTATCGTGCTCTCAGCCCCGAGGAGATTTCTGAGGTGCTTGGAATTTTCCCTGGCTGGATGCGGGAAAAGTTCGAGCAGGGGCTGGAGGGGGTGGATGGGAGGGATGTGACGGATATCGAGCAGCTTTTGCATCCTAGGGAGGAGCTCTTGCCGAAATTTGAAGATGATGCGGGGTTGTAGTCAATCGCTGTTGGAGAAAAGAAAAATTTCTTTTCTTTTTCTCTCTTCTTTTTTTTCTTCTTCTCTTTTTTTTTACGCGCACTTCTTGAGGTAATTTTGAGTTTTCTGTTAGCTGCCTACTTATTGTCTGCTCCCTCTCAAGGTAGTGGGTTTGGTCTGTTCTCGAAGACAGGCGGGTTCTTGCGGATCGTCACCCCAAGAGCCGACCTGTCGGACATGGGGAAACTGTCAGATAAGCACCATTTATCGGTCGGTACCCAAAACACCCCTTTCTCCGACGTGTAAAAAGGAACATAATGTTGGGACAAAAGATAGATATGGTTAATATCATAATGCGTCTCTAAGTAGAGGTCGGATTAGGTAGAAACTGGCTTACCAGAGCTCCAGATTGAAGGTAGAATTTTGGGTTGTGACCAGAACATAGACCATCACTCATTCCTGTACCGTACTTTAAGCTGACAAACATATATCACGGAGGTTTTTGGGGGCAGCGATTGACTACGAAGACTGAACAATCAAGCTGTGCAATACCACAGTCTTAGTCCTGAGACAGATGCCCCCGAATCATCTCCAAAACCAGCTCATTCTTCTCCAAATGCACACTATGATTTGCGCCAGCCACAACCGCCAACCTGGCTCCCGGGATCCCCTCCACAACAATCTCTGACTGCTCCGGCGGACAAATCCAGTCTTTCTCCCCCACAATGACTAGAGTCCTCGCACTGATCTGATGGAGCTGATCTCGGTAGTCGAAGAGCTTCTCCGGTGCGGCGTAAAGATCATCTGAGGCACGCGTCAGCCACAGGCGTCTACCTTTCAAAGTGATGGGGCATTGGAGCATACTATGCGATTCGGCATTGAACACCGTAGCGAGATTCTGCTGTAAAGCAAGATCAGGATCAAATGTCTCTCGATAGAGCGGTGCAGCAGCGTGCATAACGAGCTGGAATTCGATATCACTGTTGAAGCGGCCGAAGATCTTGTCACGGAGCATGTTGATGCTCATCCCCGGGGCTCGGTGGAGATGGGCTTGGAGGGTTTGGATGGCTTGTTCTTCATCTGTGCGAGGGGATGGAAAATGGCGTCAGCATCCACTCCCATTTGCATTTCCCACAGGGGTGAAAGGAACTTCGCTGTAAAGACTCACGATGGTGGGAGGCGGCCGTCCCGCGCAAGATCAAATGAGACACTTTATTTGGGTATTTTATAGAGTATTGCAGAGCCAGAAATCCACCGAAGCTGCCGCCGCAGATGATGCACCGGGTGTCTGCCCCTGCAAAGCGACGTCGAAGGGCTTCGATGTCGTCCACTAGTTGCTGGAAAGTGTACGGCTTGGTGCGCGAACTCTGGCCATGTCCGCGATAGTCGAATGAAAGGATGCGGTAGTTACCCTGAGAGAGGGGAGAATAGGCTTTGAAGTCGGAGGTGTGATCTCCTGTTCGTGTATTAGCTAGAGGCATGTCTGGTGATAAACGCGCAGTGTTACTGACCGAATCCACGGCCACCGTGCAGAGTGATGATCAAGGGAGCGTCCTTGGGTCCGACCAGGCGGTAGGCAAGGTCGGCACCATTGACAGTAATGTGTTCTACCATTTTGTCTAAGGAAGGAACGTCAAAGAGCAAAATCATGAGAGAACGTGGGCAAGTATCGAGTTCTTATATCGGTGGTTTGACGAATAAGTTATCACTAAGAGATTACGTGATGCCCCCGGTCTTCTTTCTCCGCTGCACGACCCGCTGCACTGCATCTATGCCAACTCCCGTCCACAGCGTCAAAGCGACGACAAACGCCAGCCCACTGGCCCACCCATGCGTCTTGTTAAACTCAGGCGCCTGGCTGCTGGGAAATTGAAGCTGTTGGAACGGTATGACCACAGCCTGGCCCAACGAGACCATAAATGCCAAAACGAAAGCCCGCAGTTGCTGATCTCCGCCGCAGACAGAATTGACCCAGCCTGCTAACAGAGGGGTATAGCACCCATAACAGCCGCTCAGAATAAACACCGCCATCTTGAATTGCTCCGATACATCCCACGCTGTCAGCACTGCGAAGCAGAAGGTCAACAAACATCCTACTGCAAAGCACACTGGCCCGCGCCCTCTTTCACCAAAAAAATCCACAAGATACCCGGTCGCCACCATAAAGACGAAGTTGATCGCGCCCATGCAAGTGGGGAGGGAGTTGATCTGCGGCACTGAGTAATGGCCCGTGGACTTCAGCCACAGTGTGAAATACTGCATCACATACGATCCGCACGTCAACGTCCATAGACAATACGCCATCGAGAAGACGTAAAGCTGCCAACTGCCCAGCACCCGCCGGATCATGCTCCAGTCCAGTAGTCGACGCTGGCTGAGTGGGGTCCGATCGTCATCTGCGATCCGCTCAATCGCACGCTTGCGCTCCCAGTCACTCAGATAAAATGCCTGCGTTGTGTCGGGGGTATCCGGGTAGAAGACCAGCCCGTAGGCGGCGACCGGTACCGCCAGAACGAAGTCGAAAATGAAGAGCCATCGCCACGCGGGCATCCCTCCCCTCCCGTCCATTCCACGATACAGACCGGCTTGCAGATACCCAGAGAACATCTGATCCAGCACCCCGGACATCACAAATAAACCACTCCGACGTGCCATCTCCGATTTTGTATACCAACATCCCAGCACGTATTGAATTCCAGGCCACGCTGCAGACTCGAACAGGCCGATGCAAAACCGAAGCGCGTAGAATTCGTGGGCCGTGTTGCATTTGAACAGAAACAGCACGAAAAGGGACCACGCGAAGAGACAAAACGGCAGCCAGAAGCGCGGGCGAACACTAGTGAGAATCAGATTTGAGAACGGTCCGCCGATAATGACGCCGGCGTTGAAGTATGTGTTCATCCAGCTGAGTTCATTCCCTGGGCCGAAGTGCAGATCGCTAGCCATTCCGGACGCATAGGCATTCGTCACATTGTTGCCGTCAAGCTGTTTGATGAAGAAACACAAACAGCTATAGCTTAACAAGAACCAGTCCAACTTGAATATGAGCCATTTTTCTTCTTTCGATGTATTGGGCTCGTGCCAGTGGAGGAGCTCCCATCGTCGCCGCGGCGCCGGAAATTCCGTGACAACCGCTGGAGGCCGTTTCCCCGGATCGGTATCGATCGACGACATCATGCAGTTGCGACACAATACATCTGTTCGTCCGATCGTGTACTGGACGTGCCTTTATACAAATCGCATGGAGCAACATCTACTGATAACATACATCTTGCAGATGGTGCAATCCGACATAAATTCCCTGATTAGGAACTGCAGTAGCGCCCGTCTTCGGAGCGGGGCCGACGGTGTTCCAGCCATGACAAGTTAGAAGAAAGAGCAAATAACGTCTGGCTCGTTCAGACGAGATAAGGGTGGCGCAAATTTGGGGGACTGCCCTTCCACCCGAGCGAAGCTGAGGCCTGTGGGTTCTTCCCAGCTAACGATATCCTGGTAACAATTGGCCCGGCCTAGGGTCTCGCCCAGCAAGGATAGCAACTCCAACTGTGATGACTGCACGCTATCATCATTGATGCCAATGGCATTTCCTGCAATGCTTCCTTCAAGCTTTCGCATTATACTCACCAGATGATGTGCCTGTCGCCACTGTGGTGGGAAGCTTCCTAGAATATCTATACAGACTCGGGTCTCGATTCGGATGGGATCGGCTAAGTCTGCGTCGGACGCAAAGCAATGCAGCAAGACCAAACAGGCTGGTACCAGCCGGTTCAGTGTGACTCGGTTCAACGGCAATTGCCGGCTACTAAGGAGAACTCGATTGTACTGTAGAAACTTCCTTACCAGCTCCAGCAGGGGTCTGACACGAAAGATCCCATTGGCGTCCGAACGAGCATTAAATCGACATGGATAATGCAGCAGCAGAAGCAAATGATAGTATCGCGCATTTAACCAACCCATGGTATCGTGTACGCGAACATTGTCAAGCTCCGGTCGGGAAATCAGGCAACCTTGACTATACCAGTTTTCAATCTGCAACCGCAGTTTGGCCGTGATGGTGCTGCCATCGAAGGGAGCTTTCTCCCCGGGTAGGCATCTGTCCGCAAGATGCACTGTGAAGAGAATCCGTGCCTCTAGTTGGCGCAGCTCGATAACATGTCGACTTACCTGCAACATGGCAGCGACCTCCGCCCTCTCTGGCGTGGCGAATTCTTCAACCGTGATAGTTGGCAAAGGAATCATGGCGTCCTCGACTGTGAGACCCGGGGACTGCCCGACTGACACCGCCATCATCCGGTCTAGCACGAAGATACTCCAGAATAGGCGGCGACGGAGCTGGACGGTCTGTGGGGTTAAACCGTCCTCCAACAACCCCGGTCGAGTGAGGCCCAGGCTCACGGCTTGGCGGGTGACGATGCCCACAATGGTCCAAGTGGACGGGCCTTGTGGATCAAAAAGCGAGTATAAAGCCAAGAGAACCAGGACTTGGACCGAATGGATGCTCTCCTCCATAATGCATCGCTGCAGGATCTCGGCATATGCGATCGTAAAGCCGGCAGTCCCTGCACTTGGGACCTTTCCTGATCGCTCGAGGCTTGTATGGCCGATTGCCATCACCATGTACAAAATCTGTCTTTTCATGTTAAGAGTGTCGTATAGAAATTGTAGGTCAGCTCAAACTGACCATTGCATCATCCTCAGGTCCATCGTTGGGTACGTCCACTGCCGCTCGCAAAATCCTCCCCTTATCGAGGAAAGGATACGCCCGGTAAACATGATGCAGGAACGCCTCGACCAACACAATTGGACTTGCAACCGGTCCATGTGGCTTGATTAGGCGCTGCGCCAGGCCAACCTGCGGTGCTCGAACTGCTTCAAGCTCTCTGACATGTTCTGTCAACTCATCCAGTCGGGCCTGCAGCGCTTCCACCTCATCTCGTCCACCGGGGTACGAGCATTTCCGACCGGCGTGAATGCATGAAGCACAGTCAGGACGCGACCTATCACATCTCTTCTTCATGCCCCGACACCGATCGCACGTGGGGTGAGAGTTGCTCCTATTGTGGCTGTTGAAGCTGACGGGGTCTACTGGGGGAGAGCGAAGCAGACGAAATCGGTCACTCTGGACGACACGACTTCTCTTGGTAATTTTGGGCGGCATGTTGCCGATGTGGAGTTGAAAGGTCAACCTCGTGGGAGGGAGCGATATGGTAGATGAGCGGGGAGATAACGCCTGTCGCTATCGAGCGGCCGGATGGTGTCATTTGCTGCTGGTCGGAGTTCTCCCGAACTACCCCGACTCGAGTCATGAGAGGCACAGTGAGAAGTGCAATTAAGTACTTAATTCGGAAGAAGAAGTGATACCTCTGCGCTGAAAACAGTACCAGCCGTGTTCCTTCTCGAAATAGAAATTGCGCGACACCACATTGAAGTTCTTCAAGTCGTCATGCATTCCCCCGACATTAACATTGCGATTGGTGAGAAAACAACAACTCACTCCTGAGTATGGCTCAAGTCAGACAGCTAACCATTGCACTTAGATCGCGGTGGCACATTCTGCGATGTTCTGGTCCAAATTGCAGGCCAGCCAGATCTTGTATTCAAGCTACTCTCCGAAGATCCAGCCAACTATCGCGATGCCCCGACCGAGGCCATCCGGCGTGCCCTAGAGACCATCGAGGGACGTAGCATCCCCAAATCAGTCAGGCTGGACGGCTCACGTATCGCATCTTGTCGCATCGGTACTACGATTGCTACAAATGCACTGTTAGAGGGCAAAGGCGAGAAATTTGCCTTCGTGGCCACCCAGGGCTTCCGAGATGTGTGCACCATCGGAGACCAGACTCGACCGAGGCTCTTCGACCTCAATGTCCGGAAGGCTACTCCTCTTCACCGGAAGGCCGTAGAGGTCAACGAGAGGATTACGATCGATGATTATGATCTCAATCCGTTCCCGCTGGACGCTTCAAGGGATATTTATGACCCTGCTCTGGTCCGAACGGCTAGTGGCGAAATCGTCCGGGTGGTTCAGCCCTTAGATGTCGAAGCGGTCCGCGAGACCCTGCGCGAGCTGAAGGCAGAGGGATATGACTCTGTGGCAATCGCATTCATGCACTCATATCTTCACCCGGGGCACGAGGAAATTACAGCCACCTTAGCTCGAGAGCTTGGTTTCAGATATGTCACTACTTCAGCTGAAGTCAGCCCTGCCATCAAGTATCTCCGCCGGAGTAACTCGGTGTGCTCCGAAGCGTTTCTGTACCCGATCGTTCAACGATACGTCACAGACTTCGAAGATGGGTTTTCTGTCCTACCACAACGGGTTGATTTTATGTGCTCCGATGGAGGACTGCGGTCATCCCGAAACTTTCGAGGCAACGAAGCTCTCCTCAGTGGCCCCGCTGGAGGAGTGGTTGGGATAGCGAAGACATGCTTCGATCCTAGCAATCCAACTCCCATAATCGGTTTCGACATGGGTGGGACCAGTACTGATGTCTCACGGTATGATGGAGCTTACGATTACCTTAGTGAGACGACGATAGCCGGCCGCCTTATAACCATCCCGATGTTGAATATTGCTACGGTGGCCGCTGGTGGAGGGTCAATCCTCTTCGCCCGAAACGGGTTGTTTGTGGTTGGTCCCGAGAGTGCAGGGGCACATCCGGGGCCTGCCTGCTACCGGAAAGGGGGACCTTTGACTGTCACAGATGCGAACCTCTTTTTAGGGAGATTGGTGCTGTCCTCTTTCCCCTCGATCTTCGGACCGAACGCCGACCAGGCGCTTGATTATGAGATTACGGCCCGCAAATTTACAGAGATTACCCGGGAGATCAATGAGCAGACGGGGCAGACTCTCAGTTCAGAAGAAACTGCACTTGGCTTCTTGAATGTTGCGAACGAGACCATGAGCCGTCCAATACGAAATGCCACTGAGGCTCGCGGCTTTCATCCCGAACACCATAACCTTGTGAGCTTTGGGGGCGCGGGTGGCCAGCACGCCTGTTCAATTGCCACTCGACTAGGTATCAGGCGCATTTTAATTCACAAGTATTCGTCAATCCTCTCTGCGGTCGGGATCTCGAAGACAGAGTTGCAGGCGGAGGCCATTGAACCGTCTGTTGCCACTTTTCATCCATCAATCCTTCCCAATCTGAACGTTCGATTCGCTGCCTTAAAGGATAAAGTCAAGGATGAACTAGTATCTCAAGGAGCGAAGGTCGAATCAGTGCGCTTTGATGAGTCTTTGAGTTTGAGGTATCAAGGGACTGACACTAATCTAATCATCTCCAAGCCGGCTGACGAGGAATATGGCGCCGCATTTCGAGAGACACATCGCCGCGAATTCGCCTTCACACTAGATCGGCCCATCATTGTCGACGCGTTGCAAGTACGTGGGATTGGTGGAGTCGAGGGATGGCAAGCAAACTCCGCGTCGCCTTTCAAGGCCCTAGAGGAGGCCAAGCTCCACCGGAAAGAAGCTAGATCTCAAGGTTCGCAGAAAGTCTTCCTTGAGACCTCCTGGCAGAGGATTCCTTACTACACTTTGGAAACCATTGGTCATTTCACCGTCCTAGAAGGCCCAGCGATTATTATCGACGCAACACAGACCATATTTGTGGAGCCTGACTGGGAGGCATACATTCTGCCCGAGCATATTGTTCTTGAGGCAATCGACCGCAAACCAGATGAGAGCTCTCGGGTAGAATCTCAGAGCACCAATCCGATCCAGCTCTCCATCTTCTCCCACCGCTTTATGGCAATCGCCGAGCAGATGGGTAACACCTTGCAGCGTACCTCTATTTCAACCAGCATCAAAGAACGTCTGGACTTCTCCTGTGCCATATTTTCTCCAGATGGCAAACTTGTAGCTAATGCTCCTCACATTCCTATTCACCTTGGAAGCATGCAGTATGCGATCCAATACCAACACCGTCTCTGGGAAGGCAGGCTCCAACCAGGAGATGTTCTTCTCACAAACCATCCTGAATGCGGCGGCACCCACCTTCCAGATCTTACTGTTATCAGTCCAGTCTTCACCGGCGAGAACGAAACTCTAGCATTCTACGTCGCCTCGCGAGGCCACCACACCGACATCGGAGGCAAGGGAATTACAGCCATGATGCCAGACTCCAAGGAGCTCTGGGAGGAAGGGCTGAACGTGCAGTCCCTCAAAATCGTGGACAACGGCGTCTTCCTCGAAGACGCAGTGCGAGCAGCGTTCCAAGCCGCCGGCGACCACCCAGGCTGCAGCCCCAGCCGGCGGATTAACGACAACATCTCCGACCTCAAAGCCCAGGTCGCGTCGAACCAACGCGGAATCCTCCTCCTCCAGCACCTCTGCGACCAATTCACCCTGCCCACCGTTCACCGCCACATGCACGGGATCCAATCCAATGCCGAAGCCGCGGTCCGCCGCTTCTTCCGCACCCTGAGCGCCCAGCACCCAGCCCCGCTGACGGCAGTCGACCACTTCGATGACGGCACCCGCATCCAGGTGACCATCACGGTCGACCCGACCACGGGCGGAGCCATCTACGACTTCACGGGCACCGGCCCGCAGAGCTGGGGCAACTACAACTGCCCGATCTCCATCACGCACTCGGCCGTCATCTACACGACGCGCTGCCTCATCGACGAGGATATTCCCTTGAACGACGGCTGCCTGGCGCCCATCGACATCCGCATCCCGCGGGGCTCGATCCTCCGGCCCAGCGCCGCCGTCGCCATCTGCGGTAGCACCCTTGCCAGCCAACGCGTCATCGACACCATCCTCCGCGCCTTCGGCCGCTGCGCCGCCTTCTCCGGCTGCGCCAACAGCTTCGGCTGGGGCCTGGGCGGCAAGGACCCCGTCACCGGGACGATCACCCCCGGCTGGAACTACGGGGAGACTGTGGGTGGCGGCTGCGGCGCTGGCCCCGCCTGGCACGGCGAGAGCGCTATCCAGTGCCACTCGACTAATACGAAAATCACGGACGCCGAGGTCGTGGAGAAGCGCACCCCGGTGATCGTGCGGCGGCATGCGGTGAACCGTGGCACGGGCGGCCGAGGGCGGTTCCGGGGTGGGGACGGCGCCACGAGGCTGATTGAGGCGCGGGTGCCCTTGCGGTTCAGTATTCTCAGTGATCGCCGGGTGTTTGCGCCGTATGGGATGGAAGGCGGCGGGGAGGGGTCTGTGGGGACGAACTTTGTGTATAGGTGGAATGAGGGTAGGACGGGCCATGAGAAGCTGTCGCTGGGGGGGAAAGCGGCGTTGGCGCTGGAAGCTGGGGAGCTGATGGAGGTGAATAGTCCGGGTGGCGGGGGGTGGGGAAGTACTTCGGAGGGTGAAGATGATGTGTGATTCAAGTCTTTAACTATCGAAGCTTACCTCGCTAGACAGACTTCTTCCAGGTAGGTTACAAGATGCAACAGACTAGTGATAGCTTGCTATACTAGTCTATAAATGAAGTAATGCACTAGTCTTGAGTAACCATACAAACAATGTCTTTACAAGCAAGGAGTTGCGGTAAGAAGCAAGAAATTTCTACCGCTAGAGAGAACTGAAGAGCTAAGGGTCTAGCTTCAGGAACAGATACAGGTTCCCAGCTAACCTACTGAAGCAGCTCCCAGACTACTAAATAGCTTAAAATTCAATCCCTCAACATACCGTGTCACAGAGTGAATAATTTATTCTTGAATCACTTTAGCTTCGTTTATAGCGAATCATTGGGAGCTGTCGGTATTTCTGAGTCATCCAGCTATATAATTTGAAGCAGTTTACCCAAAAGTCAGTTATGAGTATATAACCTCCTTAGTGAAACTAGGTACCAAAGACACAATTGAATTGTTCATCATGGCCCGGCCCCATGGTCCAACACACCCGTGAGACGAAGCTCAGACCAAAGAGAAATCTCCTAGCGAACCTTCACCCAAAGTAGAAAGAACACACCAAAAAGCAACACGGCAACAACGAGGCAGAGCGAAAACCTCCTCCAAGCCACACAATAACGCGCAAGCACAAGCCTCCACCTTTGACAATCACCAGTCTTCCAAGGCACCTTCCTCTTCCCAATCTTATACGCGTGCATATAAGACCAGCGCCCGAATAACCACCCCAGGGATCCAAGCCCCAACATTACTTGTACGCCTGGCACACGAGCAAGAAAACCTAAACACTCAACTAAAACTACCTTGGTGTTTCTTGCTTATCTCATAGCCACTGATGAAGAAAAGAGTACAGGGACACATAATTACATTCAAGCTCTACCGCAGGAGTTCTGGCTGGGTAAAGTATCTTTCGTTTCGGTACTCAATTCTGTCCTTATCTCTCCCAACTTAGTAGGAACACAGGAAGTTTGTGTAGGCTTTGGTGTGCCTGACAAGTTTTGAACACTAGGAAACTCTCTGAGGTATTCCTCGGACCCATAAAGCTGACTAGTGCTGGACTGGTCCACACTAGCAAGGTAGTTGCAGCTAGTGCTTATTTCGATACAAGTTCCAGTTACAACCAAGTTTACTCGCTGCGTCGATAATGTCTCAGCTTGTGATAGTATAGCACGATGATTGCTTGATTCCTTGCATGTTGTAATAGTCCAAGCAATACTTGTGTTGATTCAAAATGTATTACATATTGGCTATATAAGTTTGGCTATATAAGTAAAGCGGCAACCGATCAAGAGCTCAGAATAGAACAATTCGATCATCGCGAACCCAAAGACCCAGTGAGTTCCCTCTTTTAATCCTCATCCCAGAACGAGAAAATGGCCGAGGAGATTGGCGTCGAGGCGATGGGCATATTCATTCACTCGAACCTAGGCAAGCTAGCCACACTCTCCCACCACGCCCGCCAACGAATGGAAGTCCGCGTCAGTTGGGCCTATATAAACGAGACGCCACAGGACGTGGTCTGCGGGGTGTGCCAGGACCACGACCACAGCGACGCCGACACGCGACTCTGGATGTGTCCGATGACGGCGTGCGGATGCAGCGCCTGGCATGATACTTGCCTCGAAGGGATGTATAAATTGGCGGCAAGGGCCGACCGCGTGCTGGCGTTCGGTTGTCCGGCTTGTGGCACGGGGTGGTGGCTCCGGAGTGAGATGAGCGCGGAGGAGGCGCGGTTGCGCGAGGAGTGGGAAGAGTTCCAGATGCAACTGCTGTTGAAGGGGGGTGGGTCAGATGGATATGCCGGGTGTGCCGGGTGTGCCGGTTGTGCAGGGTGTGCAGGGTGTGCAGCGACAGGGTGTACATGAACAGGACTTAGAGCAGGAGCGCTTTTTCCGCCACCTCCGCCACCTCTACCAGCAGCACCAACTGAACAAGCAGCAGAAGCAGCAGCAGCAGTACCATCAGACCCAGCAGACCCAGCAGACCCAGCAGCAGCAACAGCAGAATTCGACGTCCCTGCTACAGTCAGAACTATGGATTGAAGACACCTGAGAGCTACTTGCTGGTCCTTGATGGGGTATTGTTCTCTCCTTATCTTGACGGTTGACCTCAATTTCGTCTGAGTTGCAGTGTCAAATGAACATCCGTCCGTGTGGAGAGTAGTCCTCTTCCTGTGTGAAATAGAAACCAGGTCGATATTCCTTCCATAGCGATGAGAACCGTTTTCTTTGCAATCGACCCCTCATAGTCAGTCAGTAATCATACTTTTAGACCATCCGCTCTCCATTTATACAACCGGGGATTCACCTCACAGGATATCTGTCACTCTCGACATGCGACCACTGTGTCTCTGATTTGGATGATGGAGCCGGTTTTATAGCCATCAGACAGTCTCTCCAGCAAGCTCAGCTTGCGAGGTGGTATTCCCATGACTGCAGAAGCGCAGCCAGCGCGACGGCGAATCCGCCAACAGTCCATACTGTGTCCCACTCCAAATCCAGATTAGCCAGAACCACTACAATGCACATGGTGACTAGTAGAGGTTGCACCAATGGTCGCGTGCCCAAGATCAATTTTCTTCCTTGACTAGTAAGGCCCGAGATTTGCGCTCCCTCAAGGCCGGGTTGTCCCAGTCTTTCATTCGCCTCAGAACGTCTCTGTCCGCATCCGATTAGAGATTCATTGCGTGTAGCGATTTCTGCCACGAGAGGCTTATGCGTGACAATATATTCTCCCGTTCGAGGAAGTCATTCTCGGCTCCCAGACTGGTTTCACAGAGGACGTGTCTCAAGACGGGCAACGTGTCCAAGAGGCCCAGGTTGCGCGTCGCCATAGGGTGAACCTCAAAGGGTCAATCCCCAACCTGGCAATAAGTCGGTTCGTCGATGACCGGAACGCACGCCCGACGAATGCAGCCGTCCCCACCCTCCACGAACCCCGTTGACGGACCGTGAACCACTCCGGCGTGGGCACGTATCCGCGTATGATGACTGTGCGATGTGCAGTGGGACGATACACCTCAGAATAAAAAGACATAAAAAGACCCGCTGTCGACTATATACACACCATGACAGACGGAAAGGAAAAACGACCAAATGGGACGAGCCGGGCTTGAACCGACCACCTCCAAATCTTCAGTGACAACACCAAGCAGACACAATAAGCACAGACAGAAAGGGCCAAAACGAAACTAAAAAGAATGGGACGAGCCGGGCTTGAACCGGCCACCTCCAGATCTTCAGTCTGACGCGCTCCCAGATGCGCCATCGTCCCGAGTGACGAGAATTTTTGACAAATTGGTGAAACATAGATGGAGGTTAATGCAAACCCGGTTCCTACAACAACAGCTCACGTGGGCCCAGGCTGGCATTGGACCCAAGGCCACCTCTAGGGGTTTGACTCAGACATCTCTCCCCTTTCGCTTCTTTTTGAGAGTATGCAAGACTTGTTCGAAGGGGTTGAATTCTCAGTACGAGGTTGGTGCTTTGGCGGGTTCCTTTTGTTCTTTGCTTCGAGGGATACCGCGCGTAATTGGTGGTAAAGCAGGTAGTCAAAGACGCGACAGATTGTGTCGGAGATCCGTCAACCTGCCACATAGGAATGATACCTCCAAATAGAGGATATTTTGAGGAACTTCCGGGTGGCTGAACATTTGCAAAAGGGTGTGATGAATGAAAGTCTTAGAAAACCATGCAATTCCATTGTTTCACCACGAACTGCTGGAAATAAGACCACTATCTCTGCTCGGCATAATGGTTTGAGGAATAATCATATGATGGCGCCAGTGCTTTGTGTTCGTCTCCTACTCGTCGTGCGGGAACCAAGACTTTTGGGCAAAGGTATGCCATTCTCGTCGGTGTGATCCTTCCAAAAACTTGGGTCTCGATCTGAGTATCGCTGCTGATATGATGATGTCAGCCTTGTTACGGAAGACAACCTCGAGGCTGTGCTTTGATGTTTGCTTGGTGCGCCTGCCATTCTCTTGGCAGTGTAGCTGCACTAATGCAGGCATGCCTGATGTAAGACAGTATAAAGAGTCCAATCAGCCTTGTATCCGTATAACCTCGTTAGTTCCCGAATCGCGCACCCACTCCTCAAACGCAGCCTCACAGTCACGAATGACATCTAGACCCAACGTCTGTCTCATTGAGAAAGAGAAGAGCCAACTCCAGTCGCTCTCGCGAGTGACGCCCATATACCTCAGCAAGAAGTCGCGGAGCATTTGCACAATACCGTCTGCTATATGGAGTAGGAACCGGTTGATGCGCGCCGCCCGCACATTGCGTGTTGTACGCCCTTTTCGGACTTGTTCGTAAAGCTTCAGTATCGAAGCGATACTGTCTGCGGTAGACACTCCCTTTCCCTGGGACTCGGACTGCAATAGATGGCTCTGCAAAAGCCCAAGAAGTCTACCAATGACGGCTCCATCTTCAACAGCCATCGCCGCTCCTTGAGCCTGATACGGCAGGGTAGGATGACAAGCGTCGCCGAGAAGAGCCACTCGACCCTGTATTTCAGTCAGCAACCTGCACACCAGCCTGCAAGGGACCCAAACCTTCGTCCATGTAGGCAGCGCCGGGAGCTGGGTCAGCTTCCACTTGTAGACCGAAGTGACGCGCGATAGTAGCTTTTCCAGTCTAGCAGCTCATCAGTGATCCTCCGACCAATCCCCAATTCCCCATCCACTTCACAAAGAAGAGAAAACATACGTCGGATCCCACCCAGCATAACTCTCACGCATCTCCTGCACCCCCGCCTCCTCCCTCCTCATCCCCGACGGCAAATCATCCGGCCGCAGCAAGACCAGATTAAACTCCGTCCCGCCCCGCACAGGGTAAAAGATAGTATGTTTCCGGGGCCCGAGGTAGCTAGTGACCGCGACGCGCTGACACAACTCGTCCACCTTCTCATCCCCAAGAGCCTCAAGCTCCGTTCTCGGAATCACAGCCCGATACGCCAAATCACCGGTTTCCTGGGGCATCGCGCCATCTCCACCGACCACCCACCCACGAACCTGCGACCAGAGTCCTACCCAGAGTATCAGCACACCCTCCTTTCCCCCGGAGTGAGACCCAAGAGTAGGAAGGGAGACAAACCATCAGCTCCCAAAACCACATCCCCGGGCACGCGCTCCCCACCCGCCAAAAGCACCGTTGGACCCTCAAAGTCCACCCCCTCCACCTCGACCCCCAGCCTGACCTGCACCCCTAGCCGGACAGCCTCCTCATACAGCACACGATGATAATCCGCCCGATGGATGATCAACCACGGCGCCCCGAACTCCCTCACCATCCCCGCCCCAAAGGGCATAGATCGGATGAGATGGCCCGACGCGTAGCGACGGAAATCCACGTGCTCGAGGACTTTCGCCCCCCCTTCGTTTGAAAGTTTTGGAAGGAGGCCCAGATCGCGCATGACGCGCGTGCCGTTGGGCGGAATCTGGATGCCCGCGCCGGCGGTCTGCAGGTGGGGGGACTTCTCCAGGACGAGGACGTCGAGGTTTTGCTTGGTGCAGGCGATGGCGGTGGTGAGGCCGCCGAGGCCGGCGCCTATAATTATTATCTTCATGGTGTATCTAGGAAATGGGGTAGTGATTGCGGAGGTTGTTGAAGTTGGATGGATGGAGGGGTGGGAGGGATGGATGGCATGGCATGATGGGGGATGGGCGGACGGAGCGGGAGGGACGCTTGGACCACCCAGCCCGGTTTCCGCTTTTCCGCTCTGTGCAGGGGAGCTTCCCAGTTGTTTTATACTGTACCTTACTGCAATGTACATCTTGTGTTAGTAAGTGACTGCTAAATTTTAACTCAACAGGTCAAGAGTGGATGTGATATATCTTTTGCTGTTTCATCCCTTAGTATCTTCTTTACTCCCCTTGTTCTTATCTAGATGTGTAGAAAGACTCTTGCCAACTACGAAGTATAAGCTAACCACATTCACCTACGTGCGGTCACTGAGCCAGCTTAAGGTGCGGTAGTTGGAACGAATATACATAAGAAGAAGAGATAGAGTTAAGGTTGAAATTTAAAGAACAAAAAGCACGCAAAAAGAAACAGAAAAAACAAATCCTCCTTTTTGAGGCAAAACCCATTGACCATCATGGATCCTCAACCCCCCTTATCGGACCATGCAACCCAAAGCTAAGCAGCCTTAACCCCAACATAATAATGTAACGTGATAAAAGGCCACTGCACCGTTCGGCTTCCACTGGAAAACTTCCACCCGGTCACATCCACTATCTCCTGCCGCTGCACCAGCGCCGAGATCTCCTCGGGCGTCCGCGTCCGCAAACACGAGATGAGCCCATCAACCCACAGCGCCACCGGGGCCACCGGCACCACATACGTGAAGAACAGATGCAGCGGCGACCACCAGTACCACCGCAGCGTCACGGCGTATGCGAAGAAGAAAACCAACGGGGAGCACAGGCACGTCCAGAGGTCCCTGGCGGTGATTTCAAAGATCCTAATTGGATGTCAGTACATGTACCCCGGCTTAAACAAAGGATCAAGAAATGGGCTCAAATAGCATACACAAACGAATCCGCCTCCTCCACCGCATTCTGCAGAATCCTTTGGGCATCCTCATCCTTGAAGTGGTGAAAACAGATGTTGAAGATGCGACACTCCTTGCGGTCTTTTGGGGTGTAGCGCGGGGCATCCCGTGCGTCCACGGCGGAAGGGATATAGGAGATGTTGGGCTGCTTCTTGGTGATGCCCTTCCAGACCTCGAGATGAGGAAAAAGGTCAGTGAGCAAGAATCGGACCGGTCGGGCACTGCTATCGCTGCCGTTGGCCTGCTCGGGAGCTCGATTGAGTTCCCGTTCGAGCAACGGGGTGGGCCCGCCGGCGCCGGCGCAGAGGTCGACAAACAAGTACGACGACACATCCGGTAGATGCTCACGAATGATGGTGCAGGCCTGTGTGGCCAGGCTGCCGTGGCTCCATCCTGGGATGGAGAGGTGCCAGAGCTGCGTGAGGGTGAATTGCTCGTGTTGGTGCAGCCAGCCTGGGAGCCAGGATTGGTCGCCCAGTTCGTAGAACTGGATTCGGGGCCACTCGAGCATTTTGCTTCACTGCGCTTAGGGGAGGCTCGAGCGAATTGGGCTTGGTATGGTCATGGGTGGGGATGGAGAGGTAATAAGCTGGGGGATGGAGGTCTTTAATGGGGGGAACTCCAATCTGGCAGTGGTGCCTTCCATGTTTGTGAGGTTTGGTTCCGGATGCCGGATGGGGGGGTTCATCCTGACGTGAGTGCCTCTCCCGCAGTCCCTCACCGCTTAGCATAATCCCACTGACCAGGTTTACTGCCTGTTTACTGAGCATGAGGGTCGATTGTTATCCATACCATGTCATTCCAAGCGTCGTCGAGGGTATTCACAAAACAACCGCATCTGTAACATGATACGGGATAAGCTTTCATCGTTTATGGTACTTACAGGGATACTACTGGGTGTTTCCATATTAAGTTACACAGCGGACGGGAAGGAGAAGGATCATCCTTGATAAATGCACTATGCAAGTAGCCATACTCCCATCAATGTAGAGGATTTCTCTCTTTGTTAGTTTCTAAAAGAATGTTCCCTGTTTCTGGTAAGGTGCTGTTTATGCATTTCACGCTGAACACACAGAAAATTTACCAAAATCACTATCACAAAGGCCTTCAGGCAAAGCCAGGTCTTCTCAATTTGAGTCCTGAAAGAATAACTAGATCGTCGCAATAAAGAACAAGAAACATCATGGCATGAAGAGGCAATTAAAGCAAGCAATCTGATCCAACAGAACACAAACAGCGAGCCCCCACCAAGCACCAGGCTCCACCATCCATACTACCAACCACCAAATTTGCCGATAACGCAAAATATTTATCCAGAGATGTAGAATTCGATGCTGCCTCTATGCAGCCAACCTCTTCAAGATCTCCCTCAGCGCGGGGTTGGAGCATCCAAACTGTTTCTCAAGCTCCGCGACCATTTTCAGCAACTTGTTCTCCCACGCCTGAATGGCGATTTCCGTCGATTCCATCGCTCCGGACTTTTCCAACATCGCCAAAACCTTCCGTTTGCCTTCCAGCTCCATTCCCCTCCTCTTGTACTTGAGCCCGCCAAACAGCTCCAGAATGGGCTTCTTGAACAGGTGATTGATCTCGCAGCACAGCACCACGGGGTATGAAAACTTGCCTTCATCGAGATCCTCGCAAAATCCTTTCTGTGCGGTGTAGGATGCATCATGGAGGTTGCGGTAGTCATCGCGGACTTGGAAGTACACCCCGAGGTCGTGCATGAAGGCATCACATGCTTCTATCAACGACTTCTGGTCTTCATGTGGGTGTGGGCTGAAACGGGTGTGGGAGTCAGCAGGAGGGACCGCGGACTCCGAACCGGCAAGGCAGAACATCAGTCTCGCCACCAGCTGGAACAGAGCTCCGGTCTTCCCGGCGACCATCTCCAGGTATTGCTCGCGCGTTGGGCAATAAGTCCCCTGCTTCCAATTAAGGTCCCAAGACTGGCCCGTGAATAGGGCTTTGAGGCCTGTATGCATGATCTCTTGGGCTTGGTGGGATTGAGCTTCGAGGGAGGAGGGAGAGAAGGTGATGTTAGGAGTTATGATTTCATTCTGAGCCTCAGCCTGTCCCTGGGCATAAGGCTGGGTATGAGCATGGGACTGATCCTGAGCCTGAGCATGCCCACGAACCAGCAGATCAAGCTTTTTCAAAGTTTCCACAATCATGAATGTCGCGGTGTTAGTGGACTGGCCAACTCCAAAGACCATATGAGTGGAGGGCTGTCCTCGGCGCATGGGAGATTGGTCCTGGATATCGTCCAAAATGAGCGAGGCATTATGAAGCTGACTGATGATTTCTGTTAGGCCTGCGAGCTGCGCTGCCGACAAATGAAACCACACATTGAGCGCCAAAAGAAGCATCGCCCGCACATTCTTGCTGGGCAGGCTCGAGATGTAATCTTTTGGGGCATTGAGGGCGTTGGTATCCTTTTCCATCTTGCGGGCTGTTTGCTCTTTGGGATGGACGTCTTTCGAGAAACCGTTAGAGTGAGGGTTGGGTCTTTGGGGTGTGCTCGTGGTTCTTGCTTTATGCGGTCCTTCTGTGAGATTTTTTGTTAGCTGTGCTACCTGATTTGATGCATTTCTGCATGTGTCTGTCTTTGTTCTTTATGCGTTAGAGTGTGAGGTTTTGTTCAGGGCTTCATGGATGTACGTGATATGGTTCATAAGATTCGGTTGGATGCTCACTTGTAAAGATAGTTGCTGTCAAGATATCTTTTGTTGATTTGAATGTCTGCTTGATAGTCCTGATAAACTGTGTCAGAGATGCGCCTATCTTTCTTCTTCATGCGTCGGAGTGTGAAGTTTTGTTCAAGACGTTGAGGATAGTAGTGAGGTCATTTGTGAAAGACCTAGATGAATAGTTACTTACTTGTAGGGACAATCCCTGTCAAGATGTCTGTTTAATGGACTTAATTATCAACCTGGTAATCCTTGTCAGAGATGCCACTGAACTTCTCAGTGCGTCAGAATGTGAGGTTTCGTTGGAGCTGGTGGGGATATAGTTGGGACAAGTTGCGCAATGAAAGTCTCGCATAGATATATACTTACTAGTTGTGATCACTGCAGCAGAGCTTTCTGTCAGTTGTAGTTGAATATCTACCTGATGTTATCTATCAGGGAGACTAAGGTCCTCAGCAGGAGTATGATAACGAAAGATCGGATAAACTGCTGGAACAACAAGCGACAATGTGTAAAATGGAGAGATTTTCGTGTTGCGATGTGTGGGAAATGTCTTTCACCCTGCAGCAGATACTTCCCCTCGCCGACTAAGCGCAACCAAGTTGCACGCATTCACCGTCGGGAAATTTCCGAGCTCAAGCGCACTAGGCAGGGAAAACACAGTTTGGCTATGAACATGCCGGAGTTTTCAAAGGCACATGACTATGGCTAGGAATTTTTCATCGCAGTGAAAGCAGAGAAAGCAAAAATAAGACAGTGTCAAATATAAACCATTTTTCTGAGTATTCAGTCTAATATACAAGTTCAGCAGATCTGATTTGAGGTAATCTAGATAATCTAGCTATAGAGAAATTAAGTGTCCTGCTTAGGCAGAGATGCACTGGTAGTAGTAAGGGTTGTACTGGTAGCAAGTAGCGCCTTCAACGCAAGAGGTAGCTCCGGTCCAGTTGATACCACCGCACTGGCCGTACAGAGACTGAGCGGCACCGCTGCTGCTGCTGGTAGTGGTGGCACCAGAGCTGGCAGAGGGGGTCTGAGGCTCAGGGACGGCAGCAGGAGTGGTGGCAGCGGCGGCGGGAGGAGTGACGGTCACAAGGGTGGTCCAGGAGGAGGGCACCTGTACAGCAATCTGGGAGTAAGAGGAGCTGCTGCTGGGCTGGGCAATTTGGGTGTTGGCATTGGCGCTGGTAACGGCAGCGGCAGAAGAAGCAGCAGCGCTGGTGGTAGCCGCGGCGGCGGCGGAGGTGGCGACGGCGCTACCACTACCGACAACAGCAGTTCCAGTAGAGGTGATAGCCGAAGTGGATTGGCTGACAGAGACGGCACCGCTGTACTGGGTGGGGCCGGGGACGGCGTAGGAAGACAGAGAGGCGTAGATGTTCACAACGATGCCAGCCTCATCCTCGGTGTAGAGCTTGGTGCCGAGGGTACCGGCGGGCTCGTCGGTACCGGAGCCAGTGACCTGGAGGTTGAAGCACTGGGGGTAGTTCTGAGCACCGTCTTCAGTGCCAGCGCTATGAAGGGCGATGATCTCGTGGCGAAGAACGTAGTTGCCAGGAGCAATGGTCGGGGGGATCTCGACCAACCAGCTGTTGTTGTTGGCAATCAGCTGGTCATCTCCCCAGGTACCGGGCACTTCGGTGTCACTGATGAGACCGACACCATCAATCTTGAAGAACTCAAGAGTGGTCTTGTCAACCGTCTCGCACTCACCGTCGCAGCGAGCGAGGTAGTCAAGAACAGGACCGTGGTGGGAATCGGGCCACGCGGTCCACTGGAGGTTGACCTTGTCACCAGCCGCGACGACAATGTGGGCCTGGGCGTTGGTGGCATTCTGGTGGCAGATGATGTCGTCGCTACCGTAGTCGCTAGGGGAAATGAATCCATTGCCAGTGTTAGGAGTGGTCCAGGCGGCCACCTTAGGAGGGTCGGACTCGTAGGGGAAGCTGTTAATATCGAAGCCCTCATAGTAAACACCATTGACGACAACATTGGTGACATGACCATGTCCAGCCACACGGGTGGCGGACAGAAGAGCTGTCAAGAGGGACAAAGACTGAGCCTGACGCATTTTGTCGAGTATAGCGAAAATAGTTGGTGAAAGTAAAGAAAATTTGTTAGAGAATGGAAGTGATTGAGTGAAAGAATAAGCGACCCAGCGCAATGAAAGTGAGAACTTCAATCAATGAAGCCCGAAGGAAAGAATGTGGTAGAGGCGGAAGTAAAGAAGGACCTGCTGATGGAAAAGAAAATGTTCCCATCGAGGGGTGGTGAGCAAGGTGTATTTAAGCTGTTCAAGGCATCGGAGACCGATAGCGGTGATGGAGTCGCATAAACAACGGTCAGGAGGCTAGACCGGAACCACTGCCGCACTGGGCTATTTCCGGAGGCGCCGGAGCAATTAAGGTGAGGGTGAAACTGTCGCATGGCGGTTAGGGCAAGGGGCAAGTGTTTTAGGTTGGCCGCCGATCGGGTTGAGAACGAAGCTATTCCCGCACTAGGGTCTTGGCTGTCGGAGGTAAAACATGCGGTTGCGGTGACAGCTCCTCGGCATGAAATTTCTGTCCGTTTCCGTTCCTCTTCTCCCGGTCGGACCAAACGCCAAACAACTGGAACAATATGACACTTTGGTTGAGAAGAGAACTGATGTTCACTCTTGACTCACGAACCGTTCCATGAACTGCCGTGACGGCACAAACAAGCTGGCCAGCAGTGGAGAGGAGTTTCGCATGCGCACCCAATAGTTCTCGCGGACCATATATGCCCTAGCTCCAAAGCTTCACAAGACTTGGAATCAAGGTGGTCCCAGCTTCAACTAGATTGGGCTTTGTTCTGCGCCCTTTCCAGCCGCCAATCAAGACCCCTCGCCTTTTTGACCCAGCGCGGTTCCTGCAGTATACCAGTCCCTGCTAATTTTGCCATCACCTCAGGACCATCCGAGCACCCGAGTTAAGCCTCCAATTGCAATCGAGGTGACATGTGTAGTCTCTGCCACGCGAAGGTCGATCCAACGGACTTTATCCGGCGTCGGTGTTTTACCCACAGAGTTGCCCCACAGTCGACTCGGACACACCAGTAGACTTGTGTGATAAGTAAATATTTATGAGCCATGCCTTGCCTGTGATTTGATTGCGTGTTGTGGTCACAGGTCTTGATCCGTCTAATCGGAGGTCGGATGATGACCGGTCGTTCAAGCATGCTTAACAATCATACAACAGAATCATGTTCTTGTTCACTAGTGGATTAGCCTGCCAGAGCCAAGTAAATGGTCAAGTGTGCCGAATATCTTCGGATCTTTAGTCTCAAGGACATTATTCAAACCTCCCTTTGACAATAGATGCATGCGGCCTCGGTACTCAGCTTTGACAAGCCTCTAACACAGAAAGTAGTTGTGCTCCGGAGTCGGCGTATCTACCGTTCTTATGTACAAGATGTTGTATGACACTTCGACTCGGACACTCTGCGATGTTCGAGAGGTGGTCGATGACAGAGTTTACCGTACAGACCAAGCAGAAGTTCACGGGCCATGACTCGGGCGCCTAGGCAGGACGACGCACATTCGTTAGCGTTGAAATGAATAACAAGCGTCGGAATTTGCATAAATAAGAACTTGCAGCTCAATCATGGGCAAATTGGTCGGTGTTCTTGGGAGCTCCATTGAGCGTCCACGCTTAACCGCCCAATTTCCTGTCCAAGTATCTTGGCCTACGTGATAAATGCAGTGTGTTCGAAGAAAGCCATAAGGCTAACTAAAGGACCCCTGTCATGCTGAGACAGACAATACAGGAAATGAAAGGAGAAGGTCGTGATCATGGAGCGAGAATCAGTGTTGAGGGAGTTTTGAAGTGCTAGCGAAAGTCCGCACCTGGCAGAGTGTTTGACCTTCCATCTCAGGCTGGTCACTTGACTTTTGGTCACATGCTGATGCTCTCTTTCCCACCAACGCACCTACTCAATCATCCTGTACTGAACAATCTTTTTCTTCTCCCACGCACAGTACGCTGTAGGCATGGACTTTAATGTTATAAACCATGGCTTTGTCCTTGGGAAAATGCGCATGGGTAAAACCCCAAGGTCTGTTCTACAACGTACACCTCAACTAGTCTCGCTGCTTATCGGTCTCTCTTACCTGCTCAGTGTTTTTCATACTGGCCCTCGGCTAGCCACCAGACTTATTCCCGTCCCTGGCGGAAGACAGCACAATCTCCCCCTCCAGGATGAGCGTTTCATCGACCATGATTCGTCCAAATCATGCGAGACCATGCCGGTCGCCCGAACCCTCCAGATGCAACGCAGCGATTCCAAAGGCCGTCGGTACCGTTAGCGACTCACTCGAGCTGTACAATCGAACGAGCCTCTTCAGGAACCGGGAATTGGATGATTGTGTATACTGAAGCTCAAAGGCAGGACGACCCTGGCGGGCAAGGTTGTTGCGCGTCATGGCAAGAAGTATCCTATGACATGAGTCTTTGGTAGGGCTTTTGAGTGGCCTGGATATATTTTGCGCCCAGGCAGTATGATTGGAGGACGCTTTGGTACGATGTCACAACTTTAGTTGCTGATGAGCCGCGGTCGCCTGCCTTGGCATAGCTGTTGTTTGGAAGACACTCGAACCGAAAATATATATACGAACCCTAGCCCTGTACAACAACCATAGTTTCCGCTCATTTCATACTTTTTTTGTTTGGATTGATGAAGAGCAAAGATCATGTTCACCGCTTGCCGCAGCGTTGCCTCACTGGCCAGACCCGACGCAAGCCGGCGACTTCGGCATCTGAATTACGCAGATTGTGTCACAGCCGTCATCTCCCATGTGCCGCGTCAAGCCTGCAGGGGTATCCGCCAACCACGGCACTGCACAAGCCAGCCCGCGGGCTCCACAAAAGCCTGTTTTGGAGGATTAAGTCATTTCAGCCTTATGAGCGTATGACATCACGGCCAGGGGCACCCCACATCATCTCTGCTCAATGTCAACAAGCGATACTTTTTTTTTTCTCCTTCTCCCCTACTCTTCTCGTCCTGTCAACAAACATCGTCTTCACAGGAGATTTCCAGAAACCGGCACACACTGTGCATTATCCTCCACAATGGCACCAGGCAAGCCCTCCGCCATGCAATACGAGATAGACCTCCACCAACTGCCTATTGTCGAGAACCTTCCCACGTCACTAGAGGGTAAGTGCGCCTGCTGTCTCTATGACCACCGGGCCCCTTGCTGACCAGCCTAGAAGACAATCAAGAATGCATCATCTGCCTTGAAGACCTAGATTCCATCAAATCGTACCGCCAATTACCCTGCCAACATTTCTTCCATCAACCATGCATCGACGACTGGCTGAAGCGGCCGAACACAAGCTGCCCGATCTGCCGACGCACATTCGAGCACCTGCGCCGACCCTGCAAGACCTCCACAAGCCATGCGCCCGTTGTCGTCAATAATAGCTGGGCCACCGGCAGTCCTCTACCGCGATACTTGCTGGTCGTAGGACCCAGTCCTGGAGCTCCCGATCTCACAGTCCCGGTCGTCAGGGCGGAGCCTCGAGAGCCCCCGCGACAGTCGGTCCGGGCGTGGTGCAAGAGAAAGTTAAAGGTCGGACGTGTTGCTTGAGTGGTTCTGTTGAGCTTGCTGCGGCTGTGGCAGCCTTTATGGCCTTTTCTTTTTTGCTTATTACGACATGGCGTTCCGGGGGTTATGATTATGATGATTATGATCGCATGTCCTGTCGGAATGATGTGTTGATCTACATTCCTTTGATTCCCTGTTTTCTTAACTCGTTAGATTCCCACTTGTGTTCAATACTATTCTGATGAAAGGTCTGGTCCGAGATCCAGACACTAAATCACGACTCCTCACTTGAGCGGATCCATTCTTCTTTTTCATTGACACTACTGTCAATAAATTGTGGATCCCAATCCCCAATACATTGGGATGTCGGCGAATTTACCCGTCGACATGTCTGCAGGCAAACGACATTCCTGGAAAGGCAAGGGGGAATTAGAATCCGGTAGCAGCTGTATGATTTGCCCGCCTCCTATTCATATTTATACTCAAATCATCGGGTTCCCCCTCCAAAGGATGGCTGGCGGAGCGGCTCAATTTATTTCGCTCTTAGGGGAGCTGACCAGCGCACCATGTCCCGAGCGCGGACCAACTCCGCAACGCAGCAGCCAGACCCAACTGCCACCACCACCACCACCACCACCATCAAACAACCCCCCAATCCACCCAGCCCACCGACTACAGCCATCTTCGACGTGGAGAAGCAACACGCGCAAGCACAGTCTACTTCGCAATGCATCGACGAGCCGCCCCCGGACGGGGGCCTCGCCGCATGGTCCGTCGTCCTCGGGGCGTGGTGCGCCATGTTCTGCAGTTTCGGCTGGATCAATAGTATGTCTGCCACACAGTTACAGTTCCCACATCCGCATACACACCCCCTCAGCTGGAAACCATCGCGACAGCTTATAGACTGACGTGGGGAAAAGGCATAGGAACTTTCCAAACCTACTACGCCACCACCCTCCTTCCCCAATACGCACCGAGCACGATAGCATGGATCCCGTCACTAGAGGTATTCTTCATGTTCTTCATGGTTCGTCGCGTTTCCCCTCCCTTGCCCCCTCTAATCCAGCCTGTCTGCCCAGCCCCAACCCTCTCACCCACCTACTTACCTCCACTAACCCGAACCCAATCCCCCGCAGGGCCCAATAGTAGGCTACGTAAGCGACACGCACGGCACCCGCCCCGTCCTCCTCACGGGCTCCGCCCTGCACATCATCGGCCTCCTGATGACCTCCCTCGCGACCCAGTACTACCAGATCCTGCTGGCGCAGGGCGTGTGCAGCGCCATGGGCATCTGCGCCATCTTCCAGCCGGCCATGAGCGTGATCCCCGGCTGGTTCCGGCGGCGTCGGGGCGCCGCGTACGGGATCATCGCGTCCGGGTCGAGTGTCGGCGGCATCGTGTTTCCGATCATGACGCGCAGGTTGGTGGTGCAAGTTGGGTTTGGGTGGGCGATGCGGGTGGCGGCGTTCTTGATTCTGGGGTTGTTGAGCGTGATGTGTTTGACGATTCGCGACAGAAGTGCGAGGAGGGGGTGCGGGATGGGAAGGGGGAATGGTGGTGAGGATCCACGGAAAAAGAAGGTAGATCGCGAGGCACTATTACGCCCCTGGCGGGAGATCAAGATGCGCTTCCTCGTCGCGGGGTTCGTGCTGCTCACGTTCGGGGTGTATATCCCCACCAACTTCGTCGAGACGGCGGCGATCAAGAGCGGGATGCGGCTGGAGCTGGCGCAGTATGTGGTGCCGATGTTGAATGCGGGCAGGTATGTAATAGCATCCGATCCTCCGGTCACAGCAGCAAGACAAGGGCGATGCTAATCATTCCCGCCCCAGCCTCCTCGGCCGCATGGCTGCGGGTTTCCTCTCCGATAAAGTCGGCGTGTACAACATCTTCCTTCTCGTCTGCACCCTCACCGGAATCCTCATCCTCGGGCTCTGGATCCCGGCCACGACCGACGCGACAAATATCGCCTTCGCGGTGCTATACGGCGTCACATCCGGCGCGTACTTCTCGCTTCCACCGGCCCTCGTTGCGAAACTGGCTCCTCTGCCCGAGATCGGGTATTGGACCGGGGTGCTCTACCTCTTCTCGTCGATTGGAGGTTTGACAACAAACCCGATCGCGGGGGCGATTTTGGCGCAGGACAATGGGTCCTATACGGGGATGAAAATCTTTTCGGGTTTGCTCTTGCTGGCGGGAACAATGCTGGTGTTGGTCACGAGGATTCGACAGACAGGATGGGCGTTGAAAGCCAAGTTCTAGGCTTGGATACTGTGCGTGGCTTGCGTGTTTGGTTTAGCTTCGATGGATCTGGCTCCAAGTGAAAAGCGTTCTCCTGGGTATTGAGCGGATAGTATATACAGTGCTCTCGGTGGTATCCGCCGGCGGATCGAACAAGCATGCTCCATTCCCTTCTGCTAGCCGGCCAAGTCTGTTCACTCGGCGTTGAGCAAACCAAGCCGCGGCACTACCCCTGTAGACTTCGCCCAGTTGAGTAACAGAGCTGAAACGTCAATCTGATGGACAGGTGCTGTCGAACTACGCTACCTGAATGTTGAAACCAGCAGGTACTAATGGTCTTGTCGGGTTAGAGGAATGTGTGTAGAATGCATGAGCCAGACCATGGCGCTCGAGAACTCAGGGAACCGATCAGGACACTGGGCATACTGCGACAGCAAATTTGGTCAACTCAGTTTTCTCGTAACTATCAAAGATTGGGAGCAGACCTTAGCACCTAGCGCATCGCATTGATGGCAGCTCGTCTGGTTACACTGACGCTTAATTCTGTTTACCGTTGCGGCGATGAACGTGCGGACGCGTCGCGATAACGCACCACCCCGCTTTCTGTAGTCAAGCTTCTGCCTGGCAAAATCGATCCCCACGTTCAAGTGATGTCCGCCCTATTGACTGCCCTTCACGAAGTCGTGGGTGCTGTACGGAGTACGGAGCATTGAAAACAAAGGTCAGACTGTACAGTTTCTTATACCCGAATCCCCAATCTTTTAGACACTAGGTACATCGAGAAGGGAAGGGCTCGAGCGGCTTTGGACGTCAGAATTACACGTGGAATGTCAATCATTGCTTCGACATTAGATACTAGCATCAGAGCCCCGGCTTAAGCCCACAGAATATATGAGTTCATGATAACCGACATCTACTAAACCCAATACTACCACACTCGACCTGTGAAGCGACCTCGACAGCACCCCTTGATTCATTGTCATTCACTCAAATGCTAAGCACCAACCTCCATCCCATCACAAACCATAATCCGCTCAACTACCCGAGCTAAAGCCTCTCCAAGGTCTGCAGCAAGCGCGGCATCGCAGAAGCTATCCCAGAACATCAAATGAGCTTCGATTCGGTCAGAGAGCACCGTGGCAGCGATAACGATGTCATACTGTTATTCACAAAATACGTTAGCAAGCCATAGTCTACTCATAGGGGCGAGGGGGCTGTTACCTCAGTCTCTTCAACTGTTTCCAGCACCCTGAAAAAGCTATCTATCGACCCGGACAGATCGGTAAGCGGCTGCTCAACCGACAGGCAGGTGTTGAACAGGGACGAGGGCGCTCCGGACTCCTTTCCACCAAGAACCCGGCGTGTGACTTCGCTCAATGAACAGAATTGGTGGGACGCGCGCTCCCCCAGTGATCGGTGATTAGCCTGCAGGACATGGTTGAGAACATGATGATCGGGGCCTGATTGCAATGTAATGCGACAGGCGAGGACGTTGAAGAACGAGCCCACCATGTGGCCAATCTGAGGTACGGGTGCATCCCGACCGGAGACTAGAGCCCCAAAGCAGACGTCGTTTCGGCCCGTTTGTTCGCTGAGCACAAGCGCCCAAGCAACTTGTATCACGTTGGTGATTGTTATTCCCCTTTGGTCAGACCATTCGCGCAGGGTGCGGGTGTCCTGAAAAAGCGTTTGGTGGTGGGATCGCATCTGTCGACGACATCCCCTTCCAGCAACCTTCCTCTCGTGATTCTGGCTTTGTGAAAGCGGCCCGTTGCTGTCATGCGCAAGCATACCGGCCAGCATACATGGCTGAAGATTGGCCAGATACTGGTCCCAGAAATGCAGATGTGAGGGGTCCTTGGCCCAAATTTGCTGATACGATACCCATGAAGAGTAGGGACATGCCGTTACATCCGCGAGCGGAACACCTTGTAGAGACCTTCGAAGATCTGTCAAGAGCATAATGACTGAGGTCGCATCGAGAAAGGCATACCTTCCCTCGAGCTTGCAGAGAACCCTCCCACTTGTGCTCTGAAAGACTGTGAACTTGTACGGAATTCCTTCTTGGCTGCAGCTCGATAGACGAGGCCGCCCTGCTATCTCCAACATACTGGCATTGTCTATTTTGGTCAAAACCTCGACAGCATCGAAGGACTCCTTAAGCACGACATGGAACATCTGTGCTGGTTTCGACCGGCTTGGAAGCAAGAGGGTCCGCAGTGCTGCATGGTGCTCAACAAGCTTCAACCAAGATTCGGCTAGATGCGTGGGGTTGATCCGCTCATCACAATCCTCTACCTCCCAGATCGTATGTGATTGGCAACTGCCCAGTTGAGAAAGAAGTCCCAGATGTGATGAGGTGCACGGAAATGCATCTTCGATTGCCTTTCCAAGCGCTCCACTAATGATGGTCGTAGATATGTCTTGCTCAAAGGACGTTTGGCTTTCATATATCGACTCCAATAAAGAAAATTTTGCCAGTGCCGTCAATGGAAAACCCTGCACTGGGCGGCCCTTGACCATCGAAGCTAGGGATCTGAGCGTCGGGGCCTGAAAGATATCCGCAACCGCCACCTGGATGCCATCTAAGTTGCACTGGGCAGCGAATTGCATGGCGACAAGGGAATCACAACCAAGGGAAACCAAATCATCTTCGATAGGAATCTCGCTAGCCTTCAGCTGTAGTACTGTCGCTAATGCGTGTCTCAATTTCACCTCGACGGGCAGCAAGACGTCGCCTGCTATGGAATCCGGCGAAGACTGCCATGAGATTAAGCCTGACCAGGTGAGCTTAGAGGCAGCCTCTCGTGCACCAGCTCGATCGAGGAGAAGGCGTGTCACAGATGGCTTATATCGAAGGGACACCGGAACACAACAAAAACGCTCAATTTTCCCAATGAACCTCTGCTGTAGCTCACGCATGAGCTGAATTAGACGAGCACGCAGCGGCTCTTCTACTTTTGCCAGGACTGAACCGTTGTTTGACAATGAATCTGAGCTCACAACTCCCACGAAAAGTGCGAGATCAGGAATATAAGATCCCCGTGGTGTAATCCAGTCCGCAATTACAGGGATGCCGGGTCCGAGGTATTCACCAGCTGCTTTTTCCAGACGAGCCAAGGAGACACTTTCGTGACAGCTGTGAGTATAATCGCATGTTGGTAGAGTTTTCTTGAGGATCCTCCGTAGTGGGGCCTCAGGATATCGTACAAGAAGGCGAAGTATACGATTCATGCCTCTCAGCATGTCTGTGACCTGGTGTGAGGATAAGACATTTCGGTCGAAATATGCCGTTGTTTCCAACTGATCAGCTCCAGGTTCACAGACGACACTCAGGGCTTGAGTGCTGAAGCTGGCATACGACTTATGCTTCCAAGATTTGATCTCATCCAGCATCATCAACTGCAACGTATTCTTCCTGGCCATGGGTGTCTTTTCTAGCGGTGGTTGAACAATCAGCATGCTCTGGAACTCGCAAGCGATGGCAGCCTCGCGGCTGGATTGTCTGATTTGCTGTATCCCAGTCTGCTCGAAGGATGCAAGGCTCACGGCCTGGTTATGAATACATTTCAATGTCTCACTGACACTACGGGCATCGTGAAGTGTGATTCGAAGAGGATAAGTAGCAATGGTAGGGCCCTTCACGTCAACAGTGCCAGGCATGCTGCGGCCCATGACAGTGACGCCGAACACAATGTCCAAAGAACCGGTGTACTGAGAAAGTATCATTGCCCATGCTAGGCGAATCAGCGACGACGTTGTGGTTCCCAACTGGTTAGGATTGGGAAGACGAGATCGTCTGCGAGTCCAATTGATAGACGGATGCTTCGAGCGCGCGGGACTCTTCTTAGAAAGAAGCGGGACTGTATTGAGACCGACAAATTCCTTCTTCCAGAAATCGAACGCTTGGGACATATTCAAATCACCGAGATACTTGATAAAGGGTGCGAATGCTTGCGAGGAAAGAGCCTCTCCTTGATATGCAGTTTCAACCGTCTTGAGTATCTGCTCGAAGACGACCAGATCGAACAATGAGTGATGAATGACGACAGTTAACGTAGGATTGAGCCTAGCACGCAGAGCAACCAGATAAACAAGTGGGGAGCCAAATGACATGGCTCTGTCCGCCTTACGTTCGCTTTGTGTCTCTGCCTCAATCCACTCAATGTCCCTGTCGCGGACTACAACTTGAAGAGGATTTTCGACGCCTAGTTGCCATGCATGAATAATTCTTGTACGCAAAATCGGAAGAGAACCCGCTGCGCGATTCCACGCCCATCTTAGTCGGTCCCTGTCGAGGTCTGGGGACAATTGGAAAGTGAACCGCCCTTGGAAAGCGCCTGGCTGCTTGGCAGATCTGGCCATCAGGCGCGCCTGAAGCGGCGAGCATGGGTATATGTCCTCAATCTGTGGTTCATCCACATTACATTGCTCCGCTGCAATCTGGATATAGGCGTCCACCTTCTCTGGGCTCAAGAGCGAAAACGGTAGAACATGTCTCGGTACGCCGAAATCCCTGGAATTTTCCTCTGGGGCTTTCGTCTGGGCACGCCGTGCTAGTTCAGAAAGATTGACGGTTTGAAAGATATCCGCGACGGTGAAATGCAGAGATGGTATACTCTCGGATTCTTGTGCGAGCATCATAGCGGAAATTGAATCACCCCCAAGCTGAAAAAAGCCATCATGCTCACTAATATCACTCGCATCGAGCGATAGAACACGAGCAACCCAATCGATCATTTGCTGAGTAGCCTCTGGCGCAGCAGGATCGTGATGGCTTACCTTGGAGGATATGAAAGGCGCTGTAGGCTGGTACTTTTTGACTTCTTCCCTAGACCAGCGAGAAATCATGGATCGCAACGCCTTCCTGTCCACTTTACCAGTCGGGGAAAGAGGAATGGCGCACAAGGGCACCATCAAGTCCGGGACCATGTAAGGCGGGAGTATTTGTGCAAGGCCTGTTTTAGCTCGAAGCGCACTCGGCCAGAATTGATGGCGATCTTTATTATGAGTCGCCCGACAGCTGTCTTCGTCCTGGCATCCTATCTCTTGCTTTGATGAATCCCACTCTACAAACACAACCAAACTCGAATGGCCATGATAAAGCTTGCCAACCTCCACAGCTATTGCAGCACCTGGAAAGAATCCGGCAGCCTGGTGTTCGATCTCCCCAAGTTCAATTCGTTGCCCTCGCAATTTGACTTGAGTATCTTTGCGGCCTAGAAAGGACACACTCCCGTCAGTCCTTTGGCGCACCAGGTCCCCAGTCTTGTAGAATCGGCTGTTCTCTGCCCTGTGCCAATAAGGATTCTGAATGAAGTTAGCAGCCGTTTGTTCGGGTCGATGCAAGTATCCCCTGCCCACAATGGGCCCTCCGATTACCAATTCGCCCACGGCACCAATAGGGACCAATTTGTTGTGATCCTCAGGTTCGACGACCCAAACTGAACCGCCACAGGCCCAACGATGGAAAAGGGATCAGCATCTTTGGTAAAGTTGGGATGCACGAGCGATACCACCGTGCATTCCGCAGGGCCATAGGCAACGGCTAGACGGAGATATGGCGCCCAACGGATGACCTCTGAGGGTGAAATGGACTCGCCACCCACGATTAGGGTCTTGACGGCGGGAAGTTGTTTGGGGTTTAGGAGTCGCGCGACGGATGGGGTCAGCTCCATCCAGTTGACCCGAAGCTGAACAATGGTATCTTCTAGACAATCGACTCTGTTGGCAGCTGAGGGAATGCATACACATCCTCCAAGCATGAGGGGTACTAGGGTTTCATGAATGCTGACATCAAAGGCGTAGGAGGCAAATTGAAGCACGCGGGAAGACGCGTTCAGATTTTGCGCTTCAGAACTGACCATCGCATTGGTACAGAACGAACCATGTTCGACAACTATCCCTTTCGGTTTTCCTGTGGACCCGGAAGTGAAGGCAACGTATGCTGCGTTACCTGGCTTGACCTGAATCTGCGGCGGATAGTCTTTGCCACGACAGAGAGCTCCGTTTTCCATGTCATTGGGTACTGCGATGACGTTGTCGGCCAGCTGCAGCCCGACCTTCTTGTGAAGCTCAGAGGTTAGGACAACCTGAGCACTAACATCCTGGCAGATGTTTTGAAGCCGCTCCAGAGGATGGGCCGGTTCCAGCAAAACAAAGGCGGCTCCGGCCCTAAGAGCTCCGAGCATGGCCACAACAGTCCATTTGCTCTTCTCGAAAAGCAAAGGAACAATTGCTTCTGGTCCAGCACCTTGTCGATTCAACAGAGTCATAACCTTGGCTGATTCCTGGTCCAAGCAGGCGTAACTCATCGCACCGTCCCAGGCATTTATTGCCTCTGCATCTAGATTTTCGATGCATTTGTCCTGGATAATGTCATGGATGCATTGAGCAAGTGGCTCTTTGAGGATGTGTCTGTTCCAGTCACAGATTTGGCGATAATGATTGTCGGGAGTCAAAGTAAGGCTTTGCAGTATCTCGTTTGGATACTCTAATGTAGATTGAAGGATATGCTGCAACGCGGTGCTCAAATATCGAACTGAAGATTTGTCGACGAGGTCCGCTTTACCATACAAGGAGATGCACGGCCATTCTTGCTGCGCTGCCACCAGCAAGAGTTGAATGCCATGATCGGTCTACAACATGTCAGACCGGGCTCTGTAGGTGCGAGTGGTGCTGAAGCCGGTAGCACTTACAGAACTTTTCCAGTCATTAAACCACTCCGGGTGTAGGTTAGTTGCCACGCATGTGTTGATCCGCTCTTTGTACCTCCACTCATGGATTTGACCTTGCTTCCGACAAGTGAGGGAGACAGCGTCTGACAAGCACCCGGCAGGATTTATAGAAGCTTCATATTCATCGACCGAAATCCCATCGCAACCCTGTTTGTCCGTCGAACCAGACAAGGCGCCGAAGCGAAGTGTACCGGAATCTGTATACTTGGCTAGCACAATGGCCCACGACTGCATGAGGCTCTGCAGCACCGAGCCGGCCGTAATTGTGACCTCCCATTCAAACTTATCCCAGAACACAGTTGCTGATGAGCTAGTAGAAGAGGAGATGCATGGGAAGAGACACGACTCAACATCAGGGAACCTCATCTTGCTTTCAAATCTCCTCTGTTACCTTGCGGTTGGTCTTTTCGTCGACAAAGGCTTTGGAATTTAAAATCTTTGCCATTAACCTCATCCTGTCAGTAGAGGTAAGGATCTCTGTGACCAAGGATAATCATGGTTCGAAAAGCAAAAGGCCATCTCAATCACACAAGACGCGCCTAGGCTCGGCATGATTCCATAGTGTCGTATGGCGCAGCTGAATCTCAGGTGGAGAAAGCTATGGCAACACCATACTCCATCACTCCGCCTTCTACCGCCGCCGGATTTCCTAGTTGGGTGTATGGGACATGCCGTGAATTACAGCCTAGATGACGGCTCATGCATCGCGCGTCACATAAGTTCGAGTGGTTTCTGCGGCTGAATGCTGCACCTGGGGCACAATGTTGATCATCTCCTCCATGTCTACTTCGGCGTAACCATCTCAGGACAAAAGACGCAAATCCTTACTCAATATGGAAATCGCAATATAATACACTATTGATACGATCTGTCCCACATTATGCATGTTTCTGTAATTTTCAAACGAGCTGATTGTCTTACCTTGAATCCATCACACTGAAGTTTTCGTTTCTCATGCCAGTAGCGGCCTGGTCCTAGTCATAAAGATTGTCACTGCCAATCGGAGAGCGCAGGAGCGCCCAAATTAATGCACTCATCACTCGTTCTCGATATCCTCTTCTCTTCATAAAAATAGCGGCCATGGCAATCGAAGGCATGGCGCAAGATGACCCCAACAAATTGACTGTCATTATTGTTGGTCTCGGGATTGCAGGACTGAGTGTTGCTATCGAATGCCATAGCAAAGGGCACAATGTTATGGTTTTTGAGAAGTATGAGGAGCTGAAACAGATGGGTTAGTGGCTGATTCAAGGACGTGAATGGCGGTGAATGACTCGTTGCTTGACTGCAGTCACTGACTACCGTTCAACAGAAGGTGATGGCATCAGCATTGGGTCCAACGGAGCTCGAGTGACTGCCAAATGGAGTGATGGTGCCTTCCACGAATCGATCCGCCCGTTGGAGTTTCAGACCAACAAAGCCAAGGTGTTTGACTATACAGGCTATTGTTATGGCACGTTCGAGCTCCACGGGTACAACGAGGGCCGTGGTTATACTGTCAACCGTGGGGCATTGGTATCCGCCATGCACCAGTACGCCCAGAGACTTGGCATTCCCATCACCCTGGGCTCAGAGGTCACTAAGTACTGGGAGACGGAAGACGAGGCTGGGATTGAAGTCAATGATCAAAAGATCTCAGCCGACTGTGTCGTCTGCGCAGAAGGAATCCATAGTCAGGGTCGACTGAGCATCACCGGCCAGCAGATGAGCCTCCAGGAGACCGGCTACGCGGCTTCTCGAGGGTACCTGGATGCTCGGGTAGCAGCTCGCAACCCGAGTCTGAGTTGGATTCTCAGTGAGGAGCAATCGGGATCTGAGGACTGCATCTATGGTTGGCTTGGGCCCGGAGTTCACTTCGGAATCACGACCAAGAAGAAAGACAATGAACTCTTCTGGTACTGCTCGCATAAGGTAGGCGTCTCATTTGATTGCGTCCGGTCTCAGGGACCGCATTGACATGATGCTGCATCTACAGGCTGCCATCACTCCGTCCCAGAGCGACGATGAAACGATGAACCAGATTCTGCAGTGCATGGATGGCTGGGCAGTACAAGATCAGCTCGAGGCAGTCATCAAAGGAGTAATGAGCGGTCGGTTCATCTCGGAGAATCTAGCCATTCGCACTCCTTTGACTACCTGGTTGTCCCCCAAGCGCCGGATGATTGTGGTCGGTGATGCGGCGCACGCGGCGCTCCCGTCTAGCGGACAGGGAGGTACCCAGGCTATTGAAGACGCCGCCACGCTTGCGATTGCCCTTGACTTGGCGGGAAAAAAGGATGTGCCGCTGGCGTTGTCAGTGACGGAGAAGATCCGGTACCAGCGTGCTCAGGTTGTCCAGCAGGGTGGTCTGGCGGTGTTACAGTTCGTGATGAATCATGTCGATTTCGACGCGTTGCGGCAAGGCCCCACGATGGTGAAGCCACCGCACCCGGCGTGGATTCTGGACCACGACTGCCAGGAGTACGCTTCGAGGGAATTTTCTAAAGTGGCAGAAGCGGTGCAAAGTGGTCAGGAGTATGTACCTCACAACATTCCTAGTGATGGGCAATATCGGATGGAGTATGATAGTAAATAGGAAGATGGAAGCGGAAGCGGGGAAAGGAGGAAAGAGGGAGCCGACAGGCGGAGGGGGAAGGCACGGCCCATGGTACTGTATGGTACTTATGATACCGTACAGTACTGCCTACACATCATTACCAGTAGAGATAGCCCCACCGCTGAATACCTCGACATACGATACGGATCCGTCTAACCAGCACTTAGTTCAAAGTATCATAGATGCAGTTGAAATTAATGCCACTTCTGTCCTTCGAGGTCTTAGGACGTTTCTTATAAGAAGAGCCCTCGTGTGTGATGCTTCCCACAGTGCTCGAAGTAATTAACTACGTAGCTAAGCGGTTCTGAATTGCACCTATGACAATCATAATTTACACTCACTACCTAACTTGGGTCGTAAACACAACCACAATTGATCCAAACCACCTATCCGGCCCAAATATTCGCAGCATACGACAATACCACTACCAGAAACAAGGTAATGTGATATTTTCTGAGAGCTTCCATAGGTCAAATGAAGCACGCCTTGAATTTCCAAAGGTAGGTACTGTGAACCCATTAGTCCTTCAAGGTACGTTAACCACCTCTTAACCTTTCTTACAGGTATACCCTACAATATGCTTTACAACCATTCACGCACTTATCGCGATGCTATACAATCAATAAAGAAATGAAACCCTCCTCTAAACCTCCCATTTCATCTCAAAGGACATCAAGGTCACCCAAGAACAAAACCAACTCTATCACTGTTCTATCACCCCGTAGACTAACAACCGCATCAATATATAAACAGCGTACACCCTCAACCCCAGCAATGGCACCACCACCACCACCACCTAAGACACAACCCCAACCGCAAAGCAAGCAACGACCCCCCAAAATGGTAAGACTCGCCCGACCCTCCCGGGTAATTATCCCCCGGCGCCACCACCCGCTCGAGCAGTACGTGTGGCTGATCGACCGCGAGGCCGGGCGCAACGACCCCAACTTCACCCCGAACTGGAACCTGTATCGAGACGAGCTAACCCGGCAGTTCCGGCGCCTGCGCGAGGCCGACCCGCGCCTCAAGCCGCTCATCGGCGAGGTGCACGTCGGGCGCCGCGCCAAGATCTACAAGGAGCTGCTGCCCTCGGGCGAGGCGCTGTGCGTGCAGTGGTTCCTGGTCGGGGATGCGAACGAGGAACGGGAGCATGCGCGCACGATGCAGCTGGTCGAGGAGCTGTGGGGCCCCGACGAGGATGTGGACTCCGAGGCGGAGACGGTCGTGGTTCCGCTCGATGTGCAGGGGCTGAGGATTTCGGAGGAGGGATTTTTTTGACCCAACCTACCCTGGATGCGAGATGGGGGGTGGGGCTTTTAGTTGAGTATCTTGATCGCTGGTTTGGTATGATGTTGAATGATTATGTTACGTGAATTATATTCAATTTCGAAGTCTGTGATTTCTGAGCTGAAAGGTGTGTATATTTAGGAGGAAGAAATGAAGCGAAAACAAGATAACATCGATAAAATATGCTAACACTATGTGACTGACTCAATAAGTCTCTAACAGCTAAGCCTGTTCCTCCTCTTCAACCTTCATCTTCCAAGGATTATCAGTGGAGGAATGGTAATAAGTACTGAGATACACCCCGGTCTTCTCAGTGTAAGCAAACGAAACCCACGAGGTAAACCGATCAGTTGTAGTGAGATCAATCCCAGGACTTGAATTTGAACCGAGGTTAGTGAAGACATCGCAGTAAAAGGACCAATACCACTTACTAGTACGACTTGACCTTCTCCACATACCCCCTACCATGGCGCTCCAGCCTAATATGACACAAAAAGTCGGCCACCGCCGTGATCACCTTCCAGTCACTCTCCCCATGCACGGGGAAGTACAGCTTAGTCAACGGGGTGGGATCGCCCGCGCGCATCTCGTAGTTCCAGAGCAACGGGGTTGCCTTGGCGGTGCTTTGTCGGTCGTCGAAGGCCACCACGATCTCCCTCTCCCCGGCCGCCAGCTGCATCCGGTCCCACAACTGCCGCAAGTATTCCAGCCCGCGGGCCATCGTCGGGGACTGGACGCGGTTGCCCAGGGTCCAGACTTCGGCCAGCCTCTCCCACGTCACGCTGTTGGAGCCGGTATAGAGCTTCAGGCGGGAGCGGGCCGGGTCGACGAAGTCCCAGGAGAAGAATGACCGGTCATCGTAGCCAACCTCGCGCAAGTAGTCATCCACCGTGGCGAACGCCGGGGAGCAGTCGATGAGAGGGGTCAGGTTGGCAATCGTGGTGGCCATCAGCTGGGCCATGGATTGACCGGTGACTTTGCACTTCAGGGCGGGGAAGCTGTAGCCTTTCACGGCGATCTTGCCCTCCCTCGTCAGGTCGAAGCCAAACGCGGTCTGGGATCGGATGTAGCCCGCCTCGAGGTCGATGCCCTGCAGGGCTTCCCGCTCAGCCTGGCTCACCGTGTGGTCCTGGATGACTTGGTGCCAGATCTGTTCGTCATAGCCCGGGATCCGCAGTTGAGGGAGCGAGGACAGGAGCTCTGAAGCGGGGAGGCAATTGAACGGATCCTGAGGGGTGCCGGAGAGGGCATTGAGCGGCTCAAACCCAATGCGCACCACCAGTAGCTTCTCCTGTTGCTGGTAATTGATGCTCAGTTCGAGAGGAAGACCACTCCGCGTGATGGAACTGTGGAAGGACTGCGGATAAGGGCCCAGAAGAGGGAGCAGAGCCTGTGCAAAGAATTCGAGGTACTGGAGCTGCTCGTCGTGGGTATAGCTGACAGACGACAGCACTCTCGCTAGCATCAACCCGCTCTTCTCCCACCAGAGCTTTTCGTGTTCGCTCTTGAAATTGAGCTCCTTGGAGAGAGTCTCGAACGGACTCTGCTGGAGGGATTCTTCGAGGACAGTCATTTTGCGTAGTGACAGGGAATGTGATTTGCAGCAAACTGGTTTGTCCGTGAGGGTGTCTGTGTGTGTCCTTGTGTGTCCTTGTGTCTCTGCTGTGAGCCACAACTACTTATCCTTTCACCAGCAGTAATGGTAAAAAATAGGCGTGTGTATTGGCGAACTGAAAATTACACACTTGATAAGATTGGGTTAAATCAATCGTTCTCGATCGGTGTCGATCATCCGGGCTATTGCCATCATGCAGCAGAGACGGAACTATTTGTGTAGCGTAGACACGGCCTCCATAGATGGAGATCACACAAACATCCTGAACAAACAAGTTTGGTGGTGGCAAGAACCACATGCAGATCCCGGGTTCCCCGCATAATCTGCAGCTAATATCAATAGTCTCTATTAAAGGTATGACAGGGTGCACAAGAAGAACGTGCTGTGACTTCTGCATCGGAGAAATCGGAAATGATCATCAGTGGACGCTGGCTGAGGAGATCGGGGACTTCAGCCCCAGCATCTGAGCCTAAGGCAACAATCACTACCAGACACCGAGTCGATTGGGGAATGTGATTGAATTGTCTGTGATGCAACATCTGCAGCAGTAGCAGCACCAGCAGGGAGCAGGGAGCAGGGAGCAGTAGCACAAGAAATCAAGTTTGTCTATCACATACACAGGTCTGACACATAATCATGCGAAAACCTCCTCGTACATCATCGCTAGATTCCAGAGCAGGTGACTTTATGCGCCGTACTCGCAAATCCGCAATGTCGCCAACACCTCCGCCCTCCCTCTCACCTCCGTCTTCATCTCAAAGTTGTCAACTGCGCTGGGTGAGACTCACCACCCAGCTGAAAACCACGACAACATCACAATGGCTTTGTCAATCTCCCTCTCTGCGTTGACACCAACCGGTATCGCGCTCCTCTCTATCATCACCATCGTGCTGCTCCTATCCTACTATTATTTGACTCCAACCCGCAAAAGGTCTCAATTGCCCCTCCCTCCAGGCCCCAGAGGCCTCCCCATTATCGGCAACCTCCACCAAGCGCCCCGCCAGAAGGCATGGGAAGTCTACAAACAATGGTCCGACCGTTACGGCCCGATTATGACCGTCAACAACGGGGGCAACATCACCATCATCGTCTCCTCGCACCACATCGTCGAGACCTTTCTGGCAAAACACAACGCCGTCTTCAGCAGCCGTCCGCAGCTGCTCGTGCTCGAGCGCGCGCTGTACGGCTTCACCACCCCGGCCCTCCCCTACGGTGAGAAGTGGCTGACGCACCGCGCCCTCCGCGGCGCCGTGCTCAAGCCCACCATGGCGGTGAAGTACCGGGGCATCAACGACCTGGAGTCCAAGCAGCTCCTGCATGAGCTGCTGACCAAGGGGGACCACTTCACCGAGTGCGTGCGCCGGCAGGCCGCGAGCCTGTTCCTGGGCATCGCCTATGGGCACCGCTTTCCCGAGGAGACAGCTGAAATTTTAGACATTGACCGCGCGGTGGCGCAGCTAGGCGGGATCTCCGAGTCTATGTTCGCAGGCACCGCCATGCTGCGCGAGTTCTTCCCTATCTTGAAATACCTACCGGGGAATAACAAATTCCTCAAGCAGCTGGACGACGTCGGGGAGCGTCTGGCGAACATCTATGTGGAGCGGTTCCGCGATGGGCTTAGAACGCCGGCATGGAACTGGGCGAAGGAATATGTATCACGGCCCGAGGCGAAGGGGATGAGCGAGCTGGAGCTTTCGTTCTGCATCGGCTCGACTTACCAGGCCTCGCTGACCCCATACGAGATCCTGCGCATCATCGTGTTGGCGGCCATCTTTCATCCCGAGGAGATGCGCCGCCTGCAGCGGGAGATTGATGCGGTGGTTGGTCCTGACCGGCTGCCGGACTGGGAGCATAGAGACCGCATTCCCTGGGTCATGGCGTTCGTCTATGAGGCGCTGCGGTGGCACGCCTTCTCGCCGCTGGGGGCGCCGCGCGCCATCAGCAGCGATATCGAGTACAACGGCTACTTGCTACCTATGGGGGCGACGCTAGTGCTGAATCAGTGGGCCATGGACCATGATGAGAATGTCCATGACGATCCTTTCACGTTCCGTCCGCAGCGCTGGATTGACAACCCCAATCTGCCCCATGTCATTTTCGGCTTTGGGCTGCGCGGATGTCCCGGCCAACATCTGGCCCGCGAGCACCTGTTCATCAACACTGCGCGTCTCTTCTGGGCCTACGACTGTGGCCATGCGTATGAGAATGACAAGAAGGTTGAGCTGGATCTCGACGAGCTGATGCAGCCCCGTGGCGGAGGATCAGCCTTCAATCAGGTACCTTCTTTCCCAGCGTCGGTGATGATCCGAAATGCGACACGTAAAAGAATTGTCGAGAAGGCATGGGATGCGGTCGAGAAGGATGAGCAGAAGATTCTAGCTGATGCAATGCCGCTGAAGGCATGATGGTCATCTTAGTTCGGTACTCCATAGGTAATACATACCATGCATTCTCTGGCTGCGATGTTTTCAGCTGCCCTGCGGCCTCGCTGAACAGGCTGCCCACCTTCCGTCATGCCCAAATTGATAGTTCCACTCGTTAGGCCCCCGTAGCATGAGTCTATCACATCTTGACGTCTTCGATGCACGTCCAGCTGATAGTTTCGTGCTACATTGTAGCCCCCGGTATTTCCGGCCGGATGTGACGAAAGGTGAGGCGCTGGGACAGATAGTTATGACGCACAGTAGGCAGCAACATGCAGTGCGACTATTTGGATGATTGACTGCAATCATGGTCATGCGGTCAATATCACACGTTTGCCTCGCACAGAGAGGAGACATGTCCCCACCGATTGGCAAAGAATGGTGACATCGAGATGTCTGCTGCCTTGGCTTCGATGCAGTGGGCAACATGCAACCTCTTAGAGGGGCTTTGCTGAGACAGATCCCATCACTGATTGTCGGAAGATCCCTCTCATACAGTTGCTGGCTTTGCCCAAGGTATGTGGTGAAGACACTTAGCTATTGCGTGGCGATCACGGTCACTCTCCTAACACAGTCAGACATCGGTACAAAAAGGCACAACACATCCTCCCTCACCATCCTCAATCTACATCATCGCTTCCACGCCATCCCGGAAATCAAACACAATCTCCTCATCTCAATCCCGAGCATCCCTCCAAAGCAACCATGACATCCACCGAGTCCCCCATCAAGCCCCCAATCCGGCGCTTCCCCGCAACCACCCCGCCCCAAACCCTCTGGCAAGCCGTCTGCGACGACGGGGCCGCCATATCGAGAACTTCCTCCCCGCACCCACCATCGAAAGATTCGACCAAGAACTCTCGCACCGCTCCGCCACGACCACGGGGGGCCAAATGAACCAAGTATTCTACCAGATGCCGGTGCCCACCACGACCAAATGGATCAACGACCTGACAGCCACGTGCCCGACCTTCCGGCACGAGATCCTCAACAACCCCGTCCTGCACGGCCTGTGCGAGGAGGTCTTCGCCCCGCACGGGGACTACTGGCTCCTGAACGGGATGGCCATGGAGATGATGCCGGGCAACCCCACCCAAGACCTGCACAACGACCACGGCACGCACCCGATCCTGCAGTATCTGCGGGAC